ACTGCATCATAAATTGAAAAAAGCCATAATAGTGACAAAAGCACACAATGAGATTGCCCTCACAAAAAAACGCAGATTATAATAGAATCCATATGTAAACTGAATCTAATTACGCAGAAATAAATAACATGTCAGGACCAAAATTCCTTACAACGATGCACGCATGCGCACACCAGTCAAACGGCCGCAAAATTCCAATTTGCTCAGCGTAGCACGATGTAATTTCTATTACAAAAAGAACCACCCCCTCCCTCCCTTTGCTTTCACCACAGCTCTCAATGGACTGCACATAGTGATCCGAAGCAATGCTTCATCTCTTATCTACCTGTTCACGGATCAATAACCTATTTGCAGCAGGACTCTCGCTCGTAAAATGATATTCATTTTCATGCTCGTATGCCGTGACTGCCTCGGTTAATGATATTGGACCAAATCCACGAAAAATATGAGATGCTCAACACCAGCTCTGCCCGCGTAGCCCTTCTCTTTTCAACGTCGCAGAGTGAAGGGCTGACTACAGGTAGAGCTGATCAATTCATCAGCACATTTGGAAAGAAATAGAATACGGATGATGCATGCATATGCCTCGTTACACTTACATTCGGTCATAGGTATAGAGACAGCATACGTAATTATCTTTTTATAATTACACATATACTTGTTTCTACACTATCTGATTCGATTATCACTCAGTTGACCTATTTGGTTTTTGTAAAAGCCACGTGAAACATATTGGCAATAGGTATGATGCAAATCAGAAACTCATCCGTTTCACAGTTCATACATCTGATCCCCACAGTTTAATGTAATTAATCAGATACACCAGTATCACAGGGCTGCCAACTCTCACGCATTGACCGTGAGACTCACGCATTTTGACCAAATCTCACGCTCTCACGCTGATCTTACAATATCTCACGCGCAGCAAAAAAATGCTGAGATATCTCACTTCATGAATAAAACGCTGAAATATCTCACGCACAGCAAAAAAAAAATTTCAATATCTGAAAACAGTCACTTTAGTATGCACCAAATTGCACAAATTGAAGTTATAAAATGCAAAAGCTCCCTACTGTGGGAGGTGGGAAACCCCCTCCCACATCAACCCCCCCGCTCGGTCGCTTCGATCCCTCGCATCTCACTCTCACCTATCACCCAATGTTGGCAGCCCTGGTATCATATCACATCACTACACTCATACACAATACTGTAAATCGCACAAATCAACCAACGCAACCAATCATGGCGCACTGCAGTTCTTCAGTGCAGGGAAACCATCCATGCCCCCTTAGTTTACGGACTTGGTAACACAAACGAAAACATTAAGACATCTAATTACTATTACAGCGTAAATTAGGCGCCTTCGCCGGCAGCCTCTACTTAAGCACGACTAGTAATGCGTCTCGTCACTCCGTGATTGCTGAGTGGCGTGCGAAAATGTCACAAAAAGCGAGATTATGTTCACCACGTGCCCACGCACGCATGCTTTTGCATGACTACAAATGGCTTGAATTGTTACAGGCACCGGGAGATACGGGAGTAAAGCAGCCCGACTCTGTACAGGCAAGTAACAGTCTAATAGTCGAGAGCTCGATAACAAATCAGAATGCATGCAGCCAAAGAATTTCCAGTGATGTCACCACGCCAACCCTTTCTCAAGGTGCTTTGATGCGAAAATATCACGACGCCAACCAGTTGTGATACAGCTAATGATGCAGGAAATGATATTACAGCATTTAAAGACAACAGATGTAGCAATCTCTTTACTTGTGATGCACATTGCCAAAGAAATACTAGTACATGGCATTGGGTGAACACTATTGTGGTATTCACCCTTACCGAAATACTGCTGCTGCTGCTGTTGCTGTCGTTGATGATGTTGTTGTTGTTGTTGTTGTTGCTGCTGCTGCTGCTGCTACTGTTTCTACTTCCCCCTTCCCCATCCCCCTCCTCCTTCTGCTGCTGCTTCTGCTACTGCTGACCACTACTGCTGCTGCTATTATTTTTTCTTCTCCACCCATCCTCCTCCTCCTCCTCCTCCTCCTCCTCCACCTCCTGGTGTTGCTTGACCTTCAAGGCCTGACATGCAAGATACCAGTTAGTAGTGGACCTTCGCTACCACATCCACTTTCACACCCAGCCTCGCAAACTCACGTCTTCGCAGCACATCTTAGTCGTACCCCGGGTACACGCCAGCTGCTAGTGCTTCCGGAAAGAGAACAGCACTGGCCGAACGACAGTGTTACGTTCTCAGCACCACTGCGATAAACGAATCGTCCGCCACGGACAACGCCGACGGCAACAACGCCTACACGGTGTCAGCGCGCGGCACGCACGATGGCACCGACTCTCGAGAACGAACAAAGCGTTAATACTTAAGTAATGGAGCACACGATAGACAGCAGGGGCCGGTTTCACGAAGCGTACTTAAGTATTGAATCGTGATTAAATCACTAATCATTATTAACTTCTCGTACTTAAATTAAAGTGAATGTTTCACGAAGCTAAATTAACTTTAATCATGATTAACTTCTCGTACTTAAATTGAAGTGACTGTTTCACGAAGCGTAATTAACTTTAATCATGATTAAGTTAATCACAATATTTAATTCTACTCAGGAGCATGATTAAATCCACTAATCATAATTAGTTGCTAGTACTAGAACTTAGAAGTAGGTAGTACTAGTATATTAAGTACGCTGCAGATTTTACAATTGGAAATTTTACTTCAATTTTTTCCCAAGGTAATTTAAATTATCTAAGATTTGCTGTACTACTTCAATCATTATAGTTACAAATTAATTCCTTTTCATGTACCGAACTTGAAGATATTTTTGGCGTATTGGTCCGCCATATTGAATACCGTCTAATTTGTTTTAGACTGGTACTCGCTCCCACCTCGATTACTCGATTCCCATCGAGGTAATCTATAAGGCAGAGAGGGAGCGAGTACCAGTCTGATTCATGTTGAAGTCGGCTAATATGTGATTTAGTTAATATGTTACCTAAATTGCTTCGTGAAACAGATTTTTGACGTATGAATTAACTAATTACCGGAAGTTAAGCTTATGCATTAGTGATTTAATCATACTTAAGTTAAGTACGCTTCGTGAAACCGGCCCCAGGAAGTTATTACACAAAGAAAACTTTCGTAGATTCGATAATGGAATCGGTGGCACACAACGCGAGCCCGCTTCTGACCCACCGCCAATGCGTCGCGTCGATTGATATCACAGCCGCTTTCATCCGCCCGGCTGCTCGTCGATCGACTCGGCGTGTACCAGCTGAATGAGGGCGCGGTCGAGGCTGCCCGTCTGCTGTAGAGGCCGCCCTTCTGGAGCGTTTGGGTCGAGAGGCAGGATGAGGCCTTTAACTCGCGGCGTGTCGGATACGATATCGGCGAGCAGCCAGGTGCAGAGCGGACTCAACCGGCGCGATCTGAGCGTGTACTTCAACGAGTGAGGCCGTCGACGGGCAACACGTTCGCTCGTCGTGTCAGCAGATGCCATCTGCAAGGGCGACATTTCAGGTTTTAGTGAAGCTCATGTTGTCGTAGCTACTTTGCATGTGCAGTGGCTACGTCGTACACTGCCACTGCTACTGCACATGTCGTTGTCATAGCTACATCACGTGTTGTCATAGCTATTCTACGTGTTTTATCGTAGGAACTTCACACATTGTCACAGCTAGTTCACATGTTATCATATCTGTGTTACACATTGTCACAGCTAGTTCACATGTTATCATATCTGTGTTACACATTGTCACAGCTAGTTCACATGTTATCATATCTGTGTTACACATTTGTCACAGCTATGTCACATGTTTATTCATATCTGTGTTACACATTGTCACAGAGTTCACATGTTATCAATCTGTGTTACACATTGTCACAGCTAGTTCACATGTTATCCTATCTGTGTCACACATTGTCTTAGCTATGTCACACATTGTCACAGCTAGTTCACATGTTATCCTATCTGTGTCACACATTGTCTTAGCTATGTCACACATTGTCACAGCTAGTTCACATGTTATCATATCTGTGTCACAGATTGTCTTAGCTATGTCACACATTGTCACAGCTACAGGCCTTCATTTTTAAAGGGCGCGATCGCGCCCGCCGTCACCACACGCTCCCCAAATTGTGCCATGCTGTGCATGGCTCATCGGCGCAGCCTCCTCGGGCTTGTCTCTTCCTTCTGCCGGCCCTGCTCCTGTGAGGCGATGGTCACGCTGATAACTGTTGCACTGATGACGTCAAAACGTTCTAACCTAACGGTTTTACCTCACTGCCAACACCGCCACCACTAAACCCTCACACTAAACAACGCAGCCGCACGGCCGTCTGGAGCTCAATCTGACGGTCTGTTGCTACGATGTTATAAACGTAAAAGTTTCAGTCTGTGCGTAGCTACCACATTTGTTAGGCGCAGTAAATCAAAAAAAAAAAAACAAAAAAACATGCAGACACGCAGTTGCGTTGCACATCATTTGTCTAAAGACCGTCACTATCTCCCCCCCCAACCATGCGATTTTGGCTTTATTTTGAATTAAATGATACTTGCTCTTCACTTCGAATTTGTGTCATAGGATTTCACAGGTATCTATTTTTATCATATCTATAAAGATGTTCCACACATCATGAGCATGGATCTCAAGTATAATTAGAGGGGGCCGGGGAGTCCTTCTCCCCACCTCCCTCCCTCCTCCCTCCCCCCTGCCTCCACTTCACTCCCCTTGCCTCTCACTTCCACCCCCTTACCTCCCTATTCTCCCTCCCCCTGCCTTCGACCTCCCTCCCCCTGTCCCTCCCACCTCCCATCCCCTTGCACACCATCTCGCACGACTAATTGTACCCCGTTCCCGCCTCGATACACAACGCGTATGCACCGTTTTCGTCCTGCTCCCCGTCTCAATTTACTACTCTCTCTCTGCTTTATCTTAGACATTTCTCTCTCCTCTCTTCTTAATTATATAAAAAAAATTAAAACCCAGCGATGATGCCTTTTACTGCCCCTCATAAATGCTTTTCTTCCTTATGCCCTGAGATAATTGTTAGTGGGGAGGTGACAGTGGATGAGAGATTACATTACGTTCAAACTCATAAATCTATATAGTGGTCTCTAATATTTGCTATGGTAACAGGCTTATACTTGTTCGCCCTCACACTTTGGTAAATGGATACGCCGCCATAGCCTACTCGATATATGTTAAGAATTCAAGATGAAAAGTCAATTATTATATTATTATAATATTGGCTATCTAGTTAATATTTATTCGTTTAACAAAGACATGAGAATAAAATCTGAAATTTAAACTAGGGCCTTATAGTCTTGCCGGCGAGCATGCGCGCCGGTGCACAGTGCTAATCAATAATCAAGATGGGCATCGCTTCTGTTAAATCTCTACAGCTTAGGTACAGGCTAAAATCCAAGGTAAGTATAATTCAGGCAGTTGCTCAGCTGTGCAGTTAACAGGATGCATTAAGGTTGGCAGCAAACAATGTATGATTAAGAAGCGCCTAGCAGCCATGCGGCTGCCTAGTGTTTTTGCCTCGTGCAGCATTCACTGATTCATCATTCAGGCCTTCAGGAACCTAAGGCAGGTGCTATAGACAGACGTGCTTTAGCAAAATTCATATGCATTTTAAGCGAGCGTAAACCTTGCTTCAACAAACATTTGCGCTCTTTGCCAATTAAACTGTGCCAACTGTTAGCCTCACATTGACACAGCGTATGGCTCTAATAATAGCAAACAAAAAGCAGTTCAGTGCTTTTGCTTAACAAGTCAAACAAATCAATGTTAACCCTCCTCTTGGGGTCAAAAGGTTGATCCGATCACTATACTCTTCGGCATGTCAGGCGGAAGGACTTTCATTGTCCTTTCAATGAAAGCCATAAAAATTGCTAGCGTCACCGCCTGAAACAAAAAAGTTTTCAATCGCCCTCCGTCAACCATGCCTCCTCAAAGAAAATGCTCTAAAACTTGCCCTGCTGCCCACTGACCTTTGCACCTGTGACTTCAATTCGGCACAGTATGGCCTTTTCCTACCATGATTGCTATCACACCGACTATCACAGAGCCTAGGTCGCAGCCGTTTAGATTCGGTGCGCAATTCTGGCATTTCCTCCGATACCTTAGAGCTTAAGGGATGTTGAATTGTTCCCCCTTCTTTTACACCTCTTGACCTTTGACCTTTGACCCCCAGCTTCGACATCACAACTTGTTTTGATGATCCCCCCCCCAACGACCCGAATATCGTGACCGTACGTCGAGCGGTTAAGATTTGTGCCCAACTGTTGACGGACGGACGGACGGACGACCGGACGACCGGACGGACGATCATGCGATTCTACAAGCTGCATCTGACTATGTCAGATGAGCTAAATATACATGTGTCGCCGCGCTATATATAGGCATTGTGATCCACAAAAATTAATCTATGGTGTGGGGACAGATATCATGATGCAAAAACCCTAACCCTAACCCTAATCCTAACCCTAATCCTAACCCTAACCCTAACCCTAATCCTAATCCTAACCCTGACCCTAACCTTAATCCTAACACTATCCCAACACTAGTGCTGCCACGTTGCGGTCACCTCCCTCCACGCCCGGGGGATAGCATTACCCCATCATCGCGCCTCATAAAAATGGTTGAAATATCACTTACCAAAAGTTCCTTAGTAGGTATTATTACAAATGTTAGCGACACACAACAATTTGTGGTGTGTAAGTAACTGAACGTATGACAGAGGTACAGGTTACTACCCTCTGGTTTATACAACTAGACAACAGCATCCAAATACAGGTACCTACACGGTAGCCACAAGTTACCTGCTCGTTTTCCACTATACGTGGCGAGAAGTGGCTACATACGTGGCTACTACGTACAAGTAATTTGGCTAGTTTGTTGATGGATTGTCATGATATTTCGTGCTAAAATATGCAGGTACATGGATTAGAGTCTCTAAGGATGAAGATCAGAATAAATAAAACAAGTTTATTTTTACATCCGATCAACTCTTTTATTAATCTGTGTGCTAGTGTTGGGTTGTTAGATGAAAAGAATGTAATCATGACGAAGCCATTGAATGAATGAAGGTGAAGATGAATAATAATCAGTAGATTGACATTGACCCAATTTTCGTTTTGGATTTCACTCTAGACTGAGGATTGGTCATGATTCCATCATCACACCCCAAGAGGCATGATGGAGAGCCCTTTTAAGGGTGTGATTTTTAGTGGAGCTCTCCATCATGCCTCTTAAGGGTGTGATTTTTTAGTGGAGCTCTCCATCATGCCTCTTAAGGGTGTGATTATGGAGCGTGAAAAGACCCCCTATGGTGTCCTAGGGGAGTCATTAGTAGTCCTCCTGTACTTTTAAAATCTGAAAGCCTGCAGCTAGTTCACAAATTATCATATCTATGTCACACATTGTCTCAGCCACGTCACAATTGTCACAGCTAGTTCACATGTTATATATATGTCACAGATTGTCTTAGCTACATCACACATTGTCCCAGCTACGAAACCTGTTGTCATATCTATGTCACACATTGTCACATTTACTTCAATTGTTTCCATATCTCCTCTCGCTTTATCATATTAGTTACTATAACATATTATCATGGGGTCGAAGCTACTAAATCTGGACTTGGCCTCACCTAAATTTGTTTTCCGAAGCTTTCGTCTGAGCTTTATGACTGCTTAGTTTCGTGTCCTTATACCTTGCCATGGTGTGCTGATAGCGGGTCATCAGGATGTTACGGTGCTTCATTCTGGAATAAACAAACATGGGTCAGCGATTACATCGGTGGTTGCATCACAACCTCAGCATAACACATTCTGTGAACGTCTACGTACGTCGTCATAGTACTTAGATATGATAACGTCAGGGGTGTATAATATAGATTATGCACTCTATAATATACTCCATATTATATAGATACTCTCTATTATACACGCCTGATAGCATTGCCCTAACATAGCAGGAGAGTATCACTCGGGCACTGTGTCTGTGTCTTGGCAAACACTCACGTGTTTGATAGACCAGCACTGTATCCGACATTGTCGTTTTTTATTGTTGCCGTTCCTGTTGTTGATGTTGTTGTTTTTGTTGTTGTTGTTATTGTTGTTGCTGCTGTTGTCGTCGTCGTCATTGTTCTGTTGAGATGTTTTCTGGTTTCATTCTTTGTCTCTATGTAAGGAGGCTATCACCTGGGTAATAGGGTAAGGAATCTCTCTCCCTCTCTCTCTCTCTACCTCTTTCCCTTCCTCTCATTCTCTTTCTCACCCCCTCTTTCCCTTCCTCTCATTCTCTTTCTCACCCCCTCTCTCCCTCCCTATGTTCCCTCCACTCTTGCTTGATGTCTCTCTCTCTCTCTCTCTCTTTTTCTATTTATCTCTTCCTTCTCTCTTTATCTTCCCCTCCCACTTCCTCTCTTCCTTCCTTCCTCCTCCTTTCTTTCCACATAATAGTAACGTCAGAATTGATAATTATCATATGTACTAGTATCTGCCACCAAGCATCCTCAACATATATATAGCCTACTATAAAGCAAGCTCTACATAGATCACACGAGGGTTGAGTTGTCATTAACCACCTTGTCAAGTTCAGCCAAAGACAACCGTGACATTTATGACTATATAATAACTGACAGATGATGCAGTACATGACAAGCCCGTTTGCAATTTCCACTGGTCTGGTAACAGATTATTACCATTTATTGCCTCGAGCCACTGCATAACAGGGTCAGTGTAGTGGCAGAAAAAATGCAAGTGGTGTGATGCCAGAATTATTTAAGCGAAAGCTGGCGCATGCACGCACAGATCGCTGACACATGAGAGGGGGTGGGTGTGTGTGTGTGGGGGTGGGTGTGTGTGTGTGGGGGTGGGTGTGTGTGGATGGGAGGTAGGGTGTGTGTGTGGGGGGGGGGGTCAATGCAAAAGTATATTCATTATAGAATTTCAATTAAAATTATTTATTATTCATTACCCAGTTCATGTTGATAAACAACAAAATATTGCAGATTTTTCCGTTGATTAAAGTTCTCCATTACGGCTCTATTCGCTAATTAATGAATGGATAAATGTTGTTAAATGCAGCCAATGGTAATGCCTCACAAATGTTTCATTACGTTAATAAGCGTATAAAGCTAGAATAATCTAGCAGAACGTTAGCAACGCACCCGGCAGTTAGATGCGATATGATATGACTACTAGGCACTTAAAAAAAAAAAAAACCCTAACCCTAACCCTAACCTAACCTAAACCCTAACCCTAACCCTAACCTAACCTAAACCCTAAACCTAACCTAAACCCTAACCCTAACCCTAAAAAAAAATTAAATTAAATTAAATTAAAGTGCCTAGTAGTCATATCATATCGCATATAACTGCCGGTTGCGTTAGCATGCAACTGCTGACAACAACTGCAAACACGTGACTAGATGTTGCTAGGTTACATGCCGTCATGTGAATAGTAGATAATGGATGTCTATTACCTTACGCCGGAACGTGATCTACACTCTACAGGGAACGTTTTATTTAATGACGGCAAAAGGGGAGGATGGTGAAAATCGAATGAGGAAGCGAAGTAGGTGAGTATAAGAGGGTCAGACAGAGAGCAAACTGAAAGAGTAGAGGCTAGGAAGGGAAACCAGGGGGCAGGAGCAGGGACAGAGACGAGGGGAAAAAAGTAGGAGTTTAGAGGTAAGGAGAAGAGGAGAGAATAGAAAGGCAAAAAAATAAAGGAGAAGATGGAAGATCCTAATCCTCCTAATATCCTATTATACCAATATTGTTGTTGTTCTCCTCTACTTCCCCTCCTCTACCCCTTATAGTCCTCCTCCCCTCAATCTTCACCTTCCTCTCCTCCTCTTCCTATTCCTGCCCCTCTCACCTCTCCAGCACACAGTCTCCTGCTATCTAGTCCCTTCTATTTCCCATTAGCACGGATGCTGACCTTTGACCTGATTTAATACAGGTCAAAGGTCAGCTTAGGCATGGGCATTACCTTCGGTACATGTCATCGTCTTCTCCTCCCCAGCCGAAGTACAGGTTCGAGTAACCGTTCACCAATTCAAACATGTCTCTTCCCATCGCTGTCACACCTCCGAAGTTATTCTCAAACGTGAGCCTGCCATGCACGAATGACAACAATCAATACTCCAGCTCCAGGGGGACATTAATACACGGCTGTAATCACGGCATAATGAAAAAAGCTCTACTGGAGTAATTCGAGCGTTTAAAAGTGGGAAACGCTGTGAGAAACCACAGACGGGTCGAACGATTGATTTATTTGGGAAAACTACAGTCAAGGTAGAGCATTGAAGCTGCTCACATATTCCTTGTGAAAATCTAATTCGTTCCATATATATTGTATACAGTCAAACCAGTATACAACAGTCACACACGGGAACCACCAAGATTGTCCTTTATTGAGATAACTGTATGTCGTATAGAAGTGGTTTCGCTGTATAAAGGCCACTCAAGAAATATGACATTTATAGACAGGCGACCAACCATTCTATAGACCTTGTTCGCTAAAGCAGGGGACACGCCATGCGAATTTCGCTGCGATCACATCCGCAGCGAAAATATTTGCACCCGCATGCGATAATTGAGCAGACCAATTCGCTAGACCGCAGCGGACACACTACACGCGATCTACTGTCACCACACGGCTCCAACCATGGCTCCAACAGTCATGTGGTCATGTGATTAGCATACTGATCAATGATTCGCTGCATTATAACATCGACCAGCTTGATTTTCGCTTCCACGGACACATGATGCGAATTTGTACGCAGCGGTAAAAATCCGCAGCGAAAATATCAAACGTTTGATCGCTGCGAATTTCGGTGCGGATGAAATTCGCAGCGAAATTCACCCGCGCTTGAGCAGACACACATGCGAATTTCACTGTGATTTTAACAATTGCTGCGGACATGCGAATTAATTCGCATGGTGTGTCCCCCGCTTAATACAGGATTGACTGTATGCCTAATTATTGTCATATATTGCTTCACTGGCTGTCACTACACAAGTGACCACTGAACACCAGAGCAATATTACTTAGGCCACCTTTTTTTGTTTTGTTGGTTTACAGAATTTTTGTTGTTGTTGTTGACTCGGTAGGGTAAAATAAAAAAAATAAAAAAATTGTCGTTTTGTCAGATCAAACAAGTCAAAATACAGTGATACTGTTATACATAATATTAAAGTATTTTAAGAAAACTAAATGAAAACAAAACTCAACTTGTAATTATTTTTACTTTTATTATAAACTGTTTGTGCAAGTTTACTATTTTTTTTATTCATATTTCTTAGAGAAAAAGTCGGCGGGAATAAAAAATACAGATTTTCAATTTTTATTTTTTTTCGTTTTTTTTCTTGAAAATTCGGGTTGGCGGATCTGTAAACCAACAAAATAAAAAATTCTCGCCTTACTACCACTGCATGTAATCTGCAGCACCATCTATCTGGTGTGGGTAATAAAAACTATACTATCCTACACTTTCCACCTTAGTTCAAGATGAGGTACTAGGAACTATAGCTCATAGGGTCTATGTCCCCCAGGGTACTATCGGAGGGTACCCAGGGTACGGTTCGATATATCGGAAGATTCAGAACGTACCCTGGTAACTATCTGATATGGTTAGGGTTAGGGTTAAGGTTAGGGTTATGGTTAGTATTAGGGAGTAGGCGTAGGCGACTCCCTAGTCCCTAGACTCGTTAGTGGAGTAGGCGAGGTACGGTCCGGCATATTAGATAGTACCAGGGTACGTTCCAATATATCGAACCGTACCCAGGGTACCCTCCGATTGTACCCTGGGGGACATAGACCCTCTCAGCGGAACTATCGGCGTCAATTCTCATACGAGTGCCAAAACTGTGTATAATGTGTATTACACATATACATGCAGAACTACTGCACGCGGATATGGCAAATCAACATACAAGAACGTACGGGCACAGATTCTCACAACCGTGCCTGATATATATATATATAAACACACATGAACACGCAGAACTAACAGTGTGGACCACCATGACAGGCTAACTAATGATTCTTCTGACACACTGTATACATTTACACATACTTGAAGTCCATGGAATCTATGGCGGTGGATAGGTGCACAGGCTGACCTGGGCTCGCGTATGTTAGTCTGTCATCTTCTGGTAGCAAGTCGACATCGTGAAACACAAAGCACTGCCAGTCATAGTCCTTGATCGCTTCTGCATAACCTACATTCAACAACTTTGCCCTATTAAAGGGGTCGTCTCCATCCTGAAACAGCAAAGAATGACGAACAGGCTCAACACGGAAATTATTCAGTGCTCTGCACCCACGCACACGCTCACACACACACAGAATCATATACATGCACACACACATCGAACACGCACACGCACGCACGCACCCACCCACGCATGCATGCATGCACCCACGCATGCACACACACATATACATGCACACGCACATCGAACACACCCACGCACACACGCACCCACCCACGCACGCACACACGCACGCACGCATGCACCCACGCACGCACCCACCCATGCACACATGCACGCACGCATGCACCCACGCATGCACACACACACATATACATGCACAGGCACATCGAACACACACGCACAAACACACACACACGCGCGCACACGCACACACTCACACAGACACACACATGTACGCACGTACGCACATGCATGCACACATACTCACACACACACATGCACACACGCACACACACACGCACACACGCACGCACGCAGGCGTACCTGTTCGACTACGTAGATGCCGTAATCTAGTTGCTGACGCTGGAGGAACGGGTGCATGTAATCGAGGAACACGCGCAGGTTGGCGTCGCGCGCGCGGTACGGCAGTATGATGGCGACGCGGTGCCGCGCTGCGCAGTCGTCCGGCCGCCACCGCCCCCCCGGCTCGACGTCCGAAAACGCAAACTTGTACTCGACGTCGTACCACGACGGTGGCGCCACCACGGGAATTTTCTGCAGGCCGACTAGACGGAGAGAGAATGTGTGTCTCGCTTAGCGTCCGAGCTTCGTGAAGCACGAGGAGTACTACTCAGCACGCAAATCTGTGATTTTCGTTCGATTTGTCGATGGAGCATTTTGTTTTGCTCGAGAGTTTTTTGTTGATGTGGTTTTCACTTGCAATGAGTAAACATCCTAATTTTGTTCGGAACATGCTCAGCACGGGGAGGTCATACAAACAGCAACATATCCGAAAATACGCAGCGTTGCATGCAAGCAAATACAATGCAATCATGTGCGTTTTCTCCCTCGACCTACATTTCCACTATAGCCAAACGATATTCCTTTGCCTTTGTAGCTGTCCACAGGAGTAACTATTTATAACGTGACATTTATACGTGTAAATACTACATGAATGCATGCGCCTGGCATGGTTTCTATGTTCAATCGACACACAATTTGCTCAACTTGCTTACATACTGTGCGTAGCAACTTGGCGATACCTAACTACAGTTAAACCTGCGTTAGCAGCATAGAAATATATATAGACAGGGTTCATAGTAGTAAGACACATGTATGCTGAAATAAGGACTTATAAGACCCTTTCTGGAGGCCAAAATAAGACTTTTTTACGCGATTTCTGATAGATCACCGACTATTAAAGTACACTAATAATATTTATATACACAATTGCACAGCAGATTTCGCCGAAATTCAACACAGAAAATGTTGAAAAATGGTCCTTTGGCAAAAAATAAGGACTATTAAGTACTTTTCTAAGATTTCACCAAAAATAAGTACTAATAAGGGCCCTTATTTTATTTTTGGCAAAATAAGTACTTATAAGACTTTGGAAGACCTGCTACGAACCCTGATAGAGACATTAGTTTAACTAGTATATTATTTCTATGGTTAGCTGTCATCTCTATAAAATGGGAAGCTGTCTATAATAGAAATCTTTGGCATTTGACTTAATTGGAAATTACACGATGAAACAACCTCTATACAAAAGAAGGAGACTTCATATGAAGGAGACTTCATAAATAGACTGGTTTGACTGTACATGTTGCAAATTTACACAAATGTGCACAACCAGCAATAACATATAATACATCTATACTCACTGAGATGTGGAGACACAACTGGACACCTTGGTAAGCCAGTCCTTTGGCTTTCTGTCTGTCTGTCTTCATGTTGTGTTACAGTGTCTGTACTGTTTGGTGTCTGGTTACTGGTACTTTGTAGAACAAACTCATGTGTGTGGTTGGCAGGATTTTTTCTCAATATACTCCGTGCCTGGCGGTTTCCTTCAGAGTTATTTACCAGGGACTTCCTTTGCCTAGATTTGTCTGCATGGGCTGCTACTTCTGCATCCTTACCGCGCGCGCGTTTCCGCTTTTCTGTGGTGTCCACCGGTGAATTATTGTTCGGAATTTTATCTTGTGTTCGATTGCTAACGGAGTTGAAGACAAATGGTTCTTCAACTGAACCGTGAATTGCGTCTGAGAAAATGGTAGAGGCCTTTGGCTTTGCCGGCACCAATTTTAGACTATTCTGGCGTGTAACTGGTGTTCTTTGGACAGAAAAGTCCATAAAGGTTAAGCATATCAGCATAAATACTGACACAACTATCACACAAACCTTTAATGCGCATGCCATCAAAGTGTATATTACAGTGAGCTGTTTAGATGTTTTATCATTCAGTATATGTGTAAGTGCAATTTTAGATTAATTGATTGCATTACTAATGTACTAAAGGCCATTTGAATATGAATTCAACGTGCAAGTGAATTTAATGGTGGCTACATGATTTCCTAGCAAATTCTATTTAGCGTTCCAACCAACATTTACTTAAAGGCAGAATTATTTCCATCAACTCGAACACTGCCAGGTTCAATAATGCTCAGTTGAGTACCTGCAAAATGAAAACATTCTATAAGGGGGTGTTAAGCATACATACAATGGGTGGAATTTGAATGACTCAACTAGCACTAGCACATATTGCTTTATGTGATGAGTGAAATGAAAACAGGAAGTGGAGCGCTGCTATTCTGTTTCATTGCCTTGCAGTACGATAATCATAAAAGTCACTGTATATATACAAAATATATCAGCATTGTATTACTTGTAGAAGCTGTAGTGTTTCTCAGTCAGTACTTAGTAGTAAGTGGAGTTTACTGTAAGCTGATTAATTTCCATTTGCTATCTAGACTCTCCCATCCACGCATGTTCTGCTAATACAAAAGCCATTTTTAAACCTATGTCTACACAGTTGATTGGCAAATCACTCTAGTCAGCACACTTATCACACCATCTTTCGTGATAGGTTTAAGATTAGGTTAGGATTAGGGGCCCAGGTGGGGTTAGATTAAGGCTATAGATCTATATGGTTTGCATTAGAATCACGCTGAGGTGCTATGATAGTCAAAGCCATGCAAGGTCAAGTGACACTCCTATTGACACCCCATCACGTGACGTAATGTCATAACGAATATTCTTTATAATCTATAAAACCCTAACGAAAAAGGAAACGCCCATTAAATTTTTTTTAATAACCTTTGCGTCATTTCTGGGCACATTATTTGTTTACCTAATGAACAGGAAAAGGTTGAAAAGAAACAGTAACATAAACACAGTCAGAAATTAGAGCCTTTCACAAATTAATGTCAGTTTTAAAAATCTTGTCGGACCCAACATGTAATGTCCCCGGAATGGGGAGAACCCTGGAATAAAATTTGAGCCAACACAGAATTCTTAGATATGCTTTCTGTAACAGCAACTACATCTGACATACTGACATTAATTAGCATAGACAATTCGTGATCAGCTTTAAGAGTGTCTGAAATCCATTGATTTAGGGGTGTATTAAGCCCGGCACACCTTGCCGAACATTTTGCTCAAAAACATTATCGTAGCAATGTTCCATGAAATGTTCGGCAATGTGCGGTGAAAAAAGTCGCCGAACATTTGTTCCGAACAATGTTTCTGAAGATCGGAAATGTTTGATATCTCGAACATTGTTCGTCGAATGTTCGTCAATGTGCGCTGAATGTCGAACAATTCTAGGAACATTTGTAAAGTAATAACCAATAGCAGCACGATATGTGGTCACATGATTTTTGTGCCCAATCATGGGCCGATCACGTGACTCTTTACAACACAGCTACTAGACGGCGCCATGAGGTTGTTCGCTGTAAAATGTTCGGCAATGTGCGCTCAGCAATTGTTCACCCGCACATTGCCAGACAAAAACATTTGTTCGGACGAACATTTGTTCGGGAAAATGTTCGGCAATGTGCGCCAGGCAATGTGAGTCCAGAAACATTGCATCAACCATTGAGTCATATCAATATTTAGTGTCCAATCAATGAAGAACACTGATCAATATAACTAGTAGGTGTTGGACGATACGAACTCGTAGTTCATGATACAATCCTTATCACGATATAGTCTGCACAATTCAATACATATATCAACAGGAGTGAATAATAATAGATTAATAATAAAGATAATGCTATCCAACTGCTCAATCCTAGTTTGGGACCCAGGTCCTCATTTCTGCAAATGTGCTATTTACTAAGCTGGGTACTAAAATAGGATTGGACCCAACCCAACACTGGGTAACACAGTTGAAAACCATGTTGAAAACATGTTGATAATGAGACAAAATATCATGTCCATTTCCAGAGTGACTGATGACAAAAGAATATATTACAGACACGTACATCAACACAATAACAAAACCAAATAGGATCTACCACACTGTTCCCATTACGATTTATTGTATCTAACATGTGCGTATACGTATGTATACAGAGATCGTAGTACCGGATTATCGATTAGGGTCAAAAGCATAATATTATGAACATGATTATATTAGGCTTTATATTACACAGTACCATACTGTCCTGACTATAGTCATACTACTGTGTACTTAGCCCGACCAGGCTGTGTGATTAACGTCAATATACACAATAGGGTCTTCTAACGCTCATAGGGTCTATGTCCGCCCCCAGGGTACTGCCGGAACGTACCCTGGATAGGGTTCCGTCCGGTATACCAGAACGTACCCTGGTAACTATCTGATATGGTTAGGGTTAGGGTTAGGGTTAGGAAGTAGGCGTAAGCGACTCCCTAGACTCGTTAGTGGAGTAGGCGAGATACGGTTCGGCATATTACTATTAGATAGTACCAGGGTACGTTCCGGCAGTACCCTGGGGGACATAGACCCTCTCAGCTCTTCTAACCCTAGCATAGCTTTAGTAACTAACCCTAGCAAAGACCGTTTCTTGGAGCTACTGTCACTGTGTATGTATTGTGTTACCTGCACTGGGTGACTCTCCCGCACGTGAACATAGACTACAGTTGAGATGTACCCACACTACGGAAGTATACTATACAGACTCTGCAGTGTAGTACAGAATTTGATTATTGATCATTGAACTTGATATCCAGGATCCTTAAAGCCGCACATTGCGCATCCAAACGCTAATTTCTCCAGTGCTAAACTAGCAAATACTTCGTGTCATGCACAATCACACTACCTTATGACAAAATAAACTCTAGTTGCTCCCATTTCACTGCGCATTTGCTTAAAACCCACAAGAAAGAGGTGAGAAAACTGGCATTCTGGCGCAAACGCCGACTGTTTGCCAAACAATTTAGCCTCGAAGTGGTGAGGTGACGTCACGTTTTTATCTTTGCTACACCCGTACCGCTGTACCGTAGCACCGCTGTGCGGTTGCTTGGGGAAATTGTCAACAACATCAGAGAATTTTAACAACATTGGAGGTATTCTCAAATACCTTTTATAAGACAACGCACAGTGAAATGGGAGGAACTAGAGTTTATTTTGTCATAAGGTAGTGTGATTATGCATGACACGAAGTATTTGCTAGTCTAGTAGTAGTACTGGAGAAATTAGCGTTTGGATGCGCATTGTGCGGCTTTAATTGATTCCAGGATTAGTATGACCTAGCTTTAGTACTATAGCCCGCGTACAGTTGCCGCAGGGTTCTGGAGCAACAGCCTTCCTCAGTTCCTGCGGCAACTGTACACGGGGTATAGTACTAGAGCTAAGTATGACCATGACTATCACTTATCAGTATGACTATATTGACTATGAGTGAGTCACCGAGTCCGAGTGTGATAAAAGATAGGTAGGTAAAGATAAAAGATAAAAGATAAAAGATGTGATAAAATGCGCATATCCTATTCACTGGCAGTCGCACTGACACTGCCACAGGCAGCGTGATTAAATTTACACAGATATACTCATAACACTGTTACGCAACGATGCGCAGACTTACCATGAATTTAACATCATATTCAGAAAAATCCCCGATGGCCTCTGACAGACGATGATATGGAAAGAACTCAGGAACAGCTAGTATATGTCGTTCTCGTGACAGAACCGGCTAACTATGGGATGACTCACTATACACTGTCCCAGCATCTACTGCGCCTGCGTACAAAGATGCAGCGCCATTTCTCATAAACGAGATGCTTATAGATGGCACCCGTAATCGTAATCCTAATAAGTGGTCGTATAACTGTGCTGGATTTCCCAGTCAATCTCCAATCCATTATCGTGACGTCATTGATCATAAATGTAACTTTTCCGCCACAGACAACCAACTTCTGATATACATTCTAAAGAAAATACTGCTGGTTTACGGAACTGGTGTCATGCGAATGCATGATGAGTGTATGTGGAAGAGAATGTAAAATTACGTCATCACCTCCGGTCCGCGAGTTTTTTTTTACATGTGAGTTGGGAAATAGATATTACTATTAGGAAGCAGGATATAGATATTCTATATAATAAGATCTCTGTATTATACACTCCTGATATATACATATGTGTATATATGATATTGTAAGCATGTAGTTCATGCGAACGGGGCTGCAGATGACACTAGCAACACTGGGCTTGCGAACGAATAGGGGGAACCCTGGGTAACGAATAGGGATGATGTATATCACGTGATGAGTACCGGTACGGGTTACTTCATATAGCAGCGATTGGCTGTTTCACCTCGTACGTGTTATGCCCACAGCCTTTGTGTTGGCTTGATGAGTAATCTGGTCAGGAATTCTCAGACAATAGCCCACATACTGGCCAAGTGTCTTAAAACAATTGTTATTTTATAGACAGACTGCGCAGTTTAGCCAAATAGCGAAGAGCGAGGAAGATGCTTGCTCGTTTGGTTACCGAATTTCGTGATGATGTGGGAAAACTACGTAGCGTGAAAGAAACATGCAGATCGAGACGACCTGTTTCGGGAGCTCATATATAGGCCTATAAGAGCGAGCGCGCGTGTCGATTACAGAGAGAGAAATAGTAGAGTAGATCAGAAAGTGTAGAGAGTAGACAGCATACATTTACCGGTCGAGTATATAGTTGTGCGGCTATAGTGCTCTAGCTTGTGTTAGAATCGTTATAATGTTTTGGAACATTATATATTAGAATATTATGTTGAGGAACATGTACATGGGTCAACCAACCTCAACTCGACTTTGCATTACGCCACCGACGGTACCAAAATCAACATACGGAGAGTGCGCCCGCGTGTGTGCGCGCGCGTGTGCGCGTACATATATTATGTAGAGACACATTTAACACGCTTTATTTCTGAAACAGCCTGGAGGTGCCCAAAGTACTTGGGAAGCTGTTAAGCCATGCTTGAGACTTATAGTTAATCGGAGAGCTGGAAGGAGTGTTAAGTCAGAGGAGAGACTCGTACAGTTGAAGCTATAATTAAGTTCCCTCAACTGCCGAGTCTCAATTAACAGTAACATCCTTTCAAAACATAAAACCAGACACATTTACGTTAAATAAATGTTATTATACAACGTTATAATATCGTTTTTGTGTTAGCTAGGTAATTAATGTTTTGCTTAAAAACAACACAATGTTAACACAACCTGATAATATATACATATATACACACGCATGTCCATGATACTAAGAGTCGATATAATATAATGATATTTAATAATGTATAATATTTCCTATTACTATCATTACTTACTATTACACTTTCTTTACTCGTGCTGGTACTGATACTAACAACGCATACGTACACAACAATTTGTATTTGTATTGTTTGTGTTTAGTAGCCGACCGTTTCCGCAACCCATTTTAATGATGAGAATACAAATCACTTATAATTTAGTTCTATTAAGTAAATAATTAGGCATGTAATAATTAAATAAAAGCTCAAAGCGTTTTGTTGTCATTATAGTGGTAGAAACAAGGAGTGACTGATCGTGACATAAGTGGTAGTAATTTAGGTTCGAATATTTCAGATTTCTGCTTTCAAACTCTCACAAACTCATTAAAATCTGCGTAATTAACGTAATCATCTTCCTAATCTTAACGTATTCTCTTCACATGAGAATGCACGTTCATGTCAATAGTGATAGATTTGATAGACAACTTGACATTCGCAATTAACGATGCGATCGATTGTTTAGAAGCACACCAATTAACAAACCGATGACTCTCAATATTGCACGCGGAGTCATGTTCAGCGATGAAAAATTTACCTTATCCGCCACCAAAATATTACAAATGCGGACATGTAAATCCAATCGCGGCCGTGTTACATTACAACATACACATGTATTTCCTATTAATTTAAATACAATTATAATAGACGGTAGTTCGCTCGAGAGCTTTATCCAGTCGGGAGCGTGCGATTGGCAGGTATACCAAGGCAATTAATGTGTGTGTACGTGTGTAATGAGAATGAAACGGCCAAAATGAGTGCAACGAATTCCTAAATTAATGTTCGCGTCCTGTCTGTTTCAGAGGCGATATATCCGGCCAATCAATGTTACCTGGCATTTACCTGTTAATACGTAATTAACTGTGATGAACTAGCTTTTAGTCACTCATTGGCCCCTTGATATTATATCATTTACATTCCGCGGGCGAGAACTACTTAAACATAAGAACTCCTTTATAATACCACTACCTTCCACTACCATGGTGAAACCACCCCCAGATCGGTATCGGACACCTTGACATCCGGTGCATTGTATATTAATTCATGATGTAATATAGTAAAATAGTAAAATAGTAATAATATAGTAAAATAGTAAGATAAATCAAGCAATAACAATAAAAACAATAAGAGGTAAAATTCAATAATAACCATAACGTCAATTTACTTCGACTATATAATCCAGCCTATACAAGACGTGATTGGGAGTTTAAGCAACAGCCACCACACAGATTTTTCCACAAATAACAAACACGATTTCCAGTCACGTTCAATTCACCGACTGAAACATTTACAGGCAACACAATTTTGCTTTGTACACTGAACATAATATTAGATTCTCCCGTTTTCCATATACACACACGCGCACGTGCAGATGGACAGCTATCAGTAAACAAATTACTTCACCCACACGCGCCAATAGGAGATCTCTGGACACTTTTCTGTAGAAAAAATATGGGTACGAACGAATACACGTCAAAATTTCTGAGCTATTCTCTGATATGATCAATGTGTGCTCTCGGAAATATGAAACGCTGTCGCTTTTCCCCAGTGATCACGTAAACGCACTTATCCCATATACTGCGTAGACGCACCACACACACGCACGTACCTACGCACGCATGTACACACGCACGCGCATGCACGCGCGCCCACACACACAGACAAACAGCATGCAAGTGTCACACAGCGCATGAAAGCTAGCGCGCGCACCCCCCTGAATGTGCAGCGATGATAGCTGTCAGTCCGCTCACTCCATACAGTTACTTTCAGTCACACTAACGCCTGGCGCACAGCGAGTGCGGACGAGCGCACGTGAAGACTGCTTGCTCATCTAGGAGACCCAGGCGAGGCTGGGTGGCGGAGGGCGGGGGGGCGCGGGATGTCACGGCGAGGCAGGTATAGTTTTCTCACCGCGCGTGGGCTGCACGCCTCTGCTTTCCCACGTGCAAGGATGCTTCCCGGCGGCGGCAGCAGCAGCAGCGGCCGCCGGAACTGAGCAAGTAGGCGACGAGCGACATAGAACCGCGTGGTTAACTCTGTCACAGCTCGGAGCGCCCCCCCCCCCACTGTCGCACACGCACTACTCAGCAGGGGACAGCGAGGGATGTGCTGGGGCGCGCTTTGCTGGTGCGAAGAGGCGCGTGACTTGGCGCTTTAGCTACGCTCGATGTGCGCCGGCAATTTCAACGCCGCTGTTGTTTCAAACAGGAGGCAAACGCAGACAACGAAATTCAACGCAACGAACAGATAGCTAGATAGATACTGCGCAGCTACGCGTATAGGTAACAATGCCCGTTAAATTAGGACGTGAAATAGAGAGTGCACATACACACAAAAACGTACAACAATGCTTTATACCAAGCAGTGGAGCTTGGACTACATAATTTTCCACTACAGGTGAAGGCAGGGGGGTTGAACTACCTGCCTGCACAACAAGACTAGAAATAATGTTGCTGGATTCCATTAAATACTGCAATTTCAACTCCACCAACCTATTTCACAATTCGTTCGCAAACAGGGCAATGGTTGTGCGTTAACAATGTTAAACAAACCAATTTATAATCGACCTCAGTGGGGGCGAGGAACTTGCGAAGAGTCTAATGAACCAAGCAGTTTTTATCTATACACTCAAGGTTCACGTACCTGTTCAAAGCCCGATCAGCATCATTCCCTTTTTTTTTACACAAATGTATTTCTTGGTTCATGACTGTTGACGGCCCCAATAAACCTCGGCCCACTTAATGGCTATCAATATTTAGCTATGCCTGTACATAACAACAGAATATACATACAGAGCACATATACATGGCAGCCGATAAATACACCAGAGGGGGGAGGGCTGGACACGATAGGATTCTAATGTGGATGTGTCTTAGACCGCGTCACTCGCGCGTATAACATCTCTACTATAATACCTTTGTCGACATCCACTATACCTGTCAGTACACGTGATGAAAAGAAAAGTACGATGTTCAAATTACGTTTCATCACAAGACATTTAAGGGGTCGCAGCTCAGCACATATCTCCATAAGCGTGTTTTCATGGGGGAAGAGAGGGGGAGGGGGAGAGACTGGCCGAGCTATAGGACCCGTCCAACCCACTCTGATTCTGTGATATCACATAACACGCAAGCTGCTAGCGGGAAGGACCTGACAGTACACTCACAGCGCAGTGGTGGGGATGGACAGCAGTGGCAGTAGCAGTAGCAGCAACAGTAGCAACGGCACCAGCAGCAGTAGCAGCACCAGCAACAACAACAACAGCAGCAGCAGCAGCAGTACCAGTAGCAGCAGCAGCAGCAGTAGCAGTAGCAGCACCAGCAACAACAACAACAGCAGCAGCAGCAGCAGTACCAGTAGCAGCAGCAGCAGCAGCAGCAGTAGCAGCACCAGCAACAACAACAACAACAACAACAGCAGCAGCAGCAGTACCAGTAGCAGCAGCACGATCAGCAGCGCGTACAAGCCCCACCTCCGACCCACTCACGACGCAGCAATAAGTTATCGCACGATGCAATAACACCGCTCCTCTCGTAGAACGACCCTGCGACGCGCGCAGACGCCACACGCTCAGCAACTCGGCAGCAACCTATGCAATCAAGATCGTATTAAGAAGACGCTAGCAAGCGTTATTAAGCGTATTATTTATTCCTTCTTAATACGCTCTTGATGCAATCAATCTAAGCTAGCAATCGATCAAGCAATCGTGCTAGTGATCGATAGAAACTCATAGAAATGTACGATTCTTTCACGATTCGCTGACCAAACGCAACCAACCTAGCCGAAGCAACCTAGTCGCTATTATGCAATAACTGCAGCTGGTCACCCTGCCGGACTAACCAGGTGAACCCAACACACGCGTTGACCGCTGCGCGAGTCATTAAGACACCTGCACTAGTAAACGCTAGACAGCAAATCTCAGACACTACGCATTGACAGAATTTCTAATCACGGACGTGCACGTATGTACTGTCTACGGGACTCCTAGTGGGGGAGGTTGATGTGCAGAGATGCTAGGCTGGTGTGGTGAGAGGCTGGTGTAGAGAGAGGTGGTCGGGTAGTCTTAGATGATCACACCAAATACACATGTACATGTCTTTTACACAAGAACTGCGAGACGCAAATCCACTCCGAAAAAGCAGAGCAAGACACTGCTGAAGCATGAGGAGAGAAGGTGGAGGAGGGGGAGGAGGAGGAGGAGGAGGAGGAGGAAGAGGTGGAGAAGGTGGAAGATGTAGAGGAGAAAGAGGAGGAGGAGAAAGAGGAGGAGGAGAAAGAGGAGGAAGAGGCAGCATGCCGTGCTCAAGTATAAGAGATGCACTTGCTGCCGCGCCATGGCTGTGAGTGCGTTACCAGGATCAGGAAGACCGTAGAACGAGAGGCCTGGCTACTTCTGACGGCCTCTACGGATCCAGCCAACAATACTGTATGCACTATGCGCTCTGGTCTCGTAGCCTGCTAGCAACACACGCTCGCCCGGACATTGCAACCTCTTAAACAAACAGACCAGAAAGGAAATACATGCAAAGCATCTCATCCTAGTTGCCTAAACGCTATACCACCAGTTTCAACAAGTACTGTATACAATATTACAAATCTACATCTTTACTATTATACGTGCTGCAATACCGAATGCATCGAGCATACCAAAATCTTTGGGCTCCCGATACTGATAATACAATGAGCTGATGTAGACCTGGACACTTAAAACTCGTTTCTGATCACTTAAAAAATATCTATTTACAATAATTGCTGGGATCCGTGGGGTGACCGGTATATACGTCACTACCAGACACAAACAACAAGCTCACTTACATCTGCATTTACTTTGTTCCATATGTACATACATGTACAGAAAATAATTTCAGATCATCATTAGTGTTAATATAGTCATACGACAAACAGCCAGTACAACGACAGGCCTCACCAAATCAATGTGTCTATACACCTATCCTTGATGTCTCAATATGCATTTTTTTCGTGGCATTTTTGGCCAATAGAGGAATACCAACTACAGTGTGTCGTGTATAATCGCGTACATATTACCATCACACTCGACTTAAATCAGCCGATATCAATCCACATGTTGACAACAGTAATGTAATGCATACACACGAGACAATGCATTTGGCAATTACTCGTTAGTTAAATAAGTGAATTAGATGCGCATATTCAAGACCGTAATCCGTTACAGGAATTGCTAGCGAAATGATCTCTGTAGTTCCGATATAAATGATATTTGACCTCTATACACCCTGGATTACATATGTGAAAGACATGTAAACTAACATCGGTTACTGCAATAGCAAACTGAGAAACTTCAAACCGCCTCTTTTCACCACTCCTGGCAAATGTCAACGGCAGATAAATGACTGGCTTGACGCACACGTCACTCAAGCAAACTTACACCAAATTTTAGCAAGGTTATCAATACAACTGGAGGGTAAACTTTTGTACAGGGAATGATAGCTGTAGCTGAGACATGAACCAAGGTGCAACCATAATGAAATCACATCGCAACCATTGATATGGTGGATTGTGGCCCAACACTGGCAACATTACATACACCACGTGTAATGCACAGAATATGAATTAATAGTTCCTGCAGGAACAACAAGGTAAATGCACAAGGTGTTGTCGATACAAATACCTTCCTGGTCTAAAAATAACCTCTTTGCACTAGTATTAAACAGACAAAAATACCTCTGTGGGAAGAAAACCCTGCAGTCAAATTACGAAGGCTGCCGCCAGGGGGCTACACGTGGCCCGAGTGGGGTCCATAGATGTACTCAGTATAGCAGAAGGGGTGTAGCAGGAGACAACGTCGTCACAAAAACTAAATTTATAGCTTCGATTACTGCTCGGCTCTCGCACACGGCTACCCCCTACGCCTAAAAAATATATATTCGTGAGCTGGAACACTTACACCAGACCCCCTGGTCGCAGCCCCAGATGCTGCTTTGGTTTTTGAAAAAGATACGCATGGAAGAGTGATGTAAAATGCTCAGCCCCATACATAGCAGTAGCCCGTATCGACATCCTCCACTGAAGCACTCAAGCAGTCTTTGGTTTTCACCTCAAATAAGCACAGAACCCCAGCAGAAATTTAGGATTCGATTAACGTTCTCGTGGTCGAATCGTAATCGAGTTGGTTCGATCTGGCAACACCAGATGGAGTCAAGCTGACACAGTGCCACTGATACATGCCTTTGGGGAACGCCTTCAATATCAATCTTTATTAGGGAAGAACAAATCTATTAAAACTGGACATTTTGAGCACACTTTATATGAAAATGGTGAAGCGGTCATGACCTATATACACCTCATTAGATACAGGCACATTCAGGGGTAATAGTACACATACACATATACACGCACACACGCACGCCCTCACAAACACACACACATATCCATAATCAGTGTATGCTGCAACGCTTCAAAGCTCTGATGTAAGAAAGATTATATCAGAATGAGGTACTCTTACATTTGCTTACAAGTTCTGAACATGCTTTGGCTTTACAACACCTTTGGAATATGAAGCCGTCGTTAATCGATTGGTGCTAGCCACTTCTACATGTACATTAAAAACACAACTAAAAAATGCGTGAACACAACAACAGCGTATTTCCCGGAAAGAAAAAAAATGAAGATAAAAATGTGACACCTGTTTTCGGATGAGGAAAAACAAATCTTTAAGATTTCCGTAGGCAGGACGCACTGCATAACAACAGGTCACACAATCTAACACCCTCCAGACATGATTCAGACCAGCTACAGCCATGTGGAGCCCGTATACCCTGAGTCGTAATAACGTAGGCCAGCAACCATCTACAACGGTCGGGGGAAATCATTCGTAATCCACGGGAAATTCTACCAAACCAAGTTGGAAGGCCATATATTATACCATTGCGTTGTACACCTGTCCTGGGATGCATGGGCATGCCTCTAACATAGGGCATAAAAAGCGTCTCACGTGTGTACGGGGCATTACGTATGCGCTCTGCACTCACTGTTAGCAGCAAAGAGACTTAAGCGAGAACGTGGGAACTCGTGTTACTGTGACGGTCGGTTGTCCACGACAACGTTGTCGTTCGCCCCGTACGTGACTGAGGTTGGCGTTTGCGCTGTTGTGTCTCTAACGTATACTATCACAGGCAATCTCGGAGCCGCTCGGATTCACCGGGTCAAGGTCCGGACAAAGTTCAAAAACATCGAAATTTTGCGAACAACGCACGTCGATACCGGCAGCGAGTATTAACGGCTGCCATCGGACACGAATACAGCATTTACACATGAAGACGGTTACGATGAAGACTTGCAGTGCGACGACACGCATCACCACGTACTCCCGCGGCGACTCAACCCATCGTCAGTGATCGTCTCGGAAACAGATCGCCCCCCCCCCAAATGTACACGTTCAACTGTTCGCTCGGAGAAGCGTCTCGACAGTCGGCAGCTGCTCCGCTCCGGGTGACATCCTCCGCGGCCGCTGCGAGTGTCGCGACGGTAACGACCGCTCCCCTACCTCTCGCGTCTGTCGGCAGGTCATCAAAGTGTGCCACCCGTCCGACGGCTGCTCTCGTCCAGTAAGAGTCAATCGTCTCTCCGTCACACCAAAGACTGCTCGCTGACACTGCATGGCAGCGGTCCCCGGCGCGCGCGCGTGAGCGCGGAGAGCGCGACCAACACACACGTTGACGACACGTACGGCTCTACACGACGACGATGACAACTACGATTCGGCTGGCCACCGATCTCAAACCTGACAGCCCTCCCACTCGTCGATGTCTGACGGGTCCGACAGGTCGTCGTCTTTTTCGTTGTCGGATGCCTGCGCCATGCAGTGCGCGCCGATCGGCTCCGGCACATGCAGGAGCTGCACTTTCGCCGGCTCCGGTTTCGTGAAGAATAGTCTCACCTGCAACAAATACCAAAATCATTCAATTAGTTATGAGAAAATTATGTTCAGTTATCCCACAAGACTTATTTACAAGCAAAATCATTTTCTGAGATAAGGTGAGGCGCACACTTTAACGGGCCCGAGAAAAAGATTACCAGCACGTAGAAATGCGGTGATGCATCAACTTGATTACCTCGTTACGTACCGACTATAAAAGTGAAGGCTCATGAAAGCATTGCCACTCTTGAATAGCCACGTTAACTGTGGGCCCAAGAACAGCAAGTGTGTCAATTCTAGGACAAGGAGATGAGTTTCGGGAAAATGCCACGATAACTGAGGGGACGAGAGCATCGGTTCTAGGGCGACAAGATTCGGCTCGTACTTTAAACTCTGGCACATAATGGGATGTGTCTTTGTTGGCTCTGTCTATGTCCTTCTTGTGCATAGTTAACACCAGCATCTCTCCGCTAGGGTGCCGTGCCTTCGCAAATAAGCACTTGTTGGATCCGCTTTGGTTGCTAAGTCCGCCTCCGATCTTCGAGGGTTCTGAGATGCCATTTGTCATGTGCTCCACCGCTTTCTCCGTCACGAAAAACGTATTGAACCAGAAGTGGAACATTTTGTTCTGGATGGCAGGTAAGAAACAAAAAAAAGAAGAGTTAATTCCGATAGTCATTGTGCGATGAACATCATCTTGTACAATTTTAAGACACAATTACTCTTAGCACTGAGGCAAAAGAGCGTGAGGTTGCTAGTACGAGTCAAAGACCATTTTTAGTGACCGTTTTTCTTTAAGGTGCACTTTTCATATACGTCGGCAACTGCCTGTTACGTGGTCATCTGTGTACTTAATGTACTGCAAATGTAATCGCCCTTTTTGTCCACTCACCTTGGACTTAAGTTTCGGCTTATTGACAAATTCCACTTTAATGTCACCGGATAACATCACAGGGTCATCTAGTGGCATGTCGAGGTGTCTATCGCTTCGTCTCACCGTGTCGTACACCATCGAACTGTACAGCATGCTCTTATGATTGCTGATGGTGAACTGAGGACCTGCACACATGCAACACCAAAGCTACAGTTGGGAACCTCTTACGCGTAAAAATGACTTCCGTCGAGAAGAAACAAGCCACGAATTTGGATGCTTTTTTGTAACCCAAGCTGCAACCAACTGACATGGGAGTGCTCACCCATCTTTCACAAAATGGAACATCTGAGCACCTTCAAATAAATTGTTGAGGATTTACTGAACTTTAGAGAAAATGCACGATTGATAGTTTTCAGTGGAAACTTTTATTATGAAAGATTAATTGTAGTAGGATGAAAGGTGATAACAACTCACTACACGTTCCATTGTAGATAGGTATAGTCTCCAAGTGTATTGATGTAAGCATGAGCACTACAGACTTATACTCAGCCGTGCTCTTTCTCATTAAATTCTCATAGTAGTGCACATATCTTCGTTGGCTGGGAATGGTCACACCCTGTAATACACACACAATCAGCACATAAGTAAAATGTCATTGCTCATTTTGTTTATCACTAACTTTACATCTCAATGAAATCTAACAAAAAGCTAGTAAAATCTACACCAGAGTATTGCAGTGAATATGCACTGTGTAGGACTGGTCCAGACTTCTCTTCACTTATCAGTCAAATACAATGAGGGAATGACAATTGCAATGCACAAATATGTTCCTCCTGCAATAGGTTAAAATTTGTTTTCACACATAATCCCTGGAGGGAACATAATAATATTTATTTATTTATTTATCAGCTGATTTTAATAGCTGGAGACACATACGCGAGCTGTAAATTGTGAAATTGAACATCACAAATGCCATGTCTTTGTGATGGACACTAGCCACACAACTGTCTTCTAATCCTTTTTCAATTTTTTATTTTTTATTTTTAGCATTTAAGCATTCACTTTTCATCTTATAGCCAATTTTTTAAATATAGGAAATTTATAAGAATCTCTTTTAGAAATAGAAAAACATGGTAATCTTTAAATTCATCTGAATTTATTAATAGGAAGCTGGTCGGGCTGGCGATAGCTTCACTGTGATTCACAAACGAGAATCTCACCTTCTTATCCATGGTCCGTGTTTCACCATAATAGGTCAACGCTTCTTCCGCACAATGAAACCTGCCCCGATGAAGGAGGTATGCGCAGATCATTACACCGGTGCGTCCCTGCACACAGACGGGAGTGGATGTCAGAATTATTGCACAAAACAATCATTAATCAATCAGGCTGTGCCTTGTACCCACACTACGTAGTTCAGCTGACCTAGAGTTCCATCTGTAAGCCCAACAACATCGTACATGATGACTACCAAGGCAGGTTAATCCACACGGATGCCAAACTATGCCATTCGGAGGAAAACTAGTCGACAAGCTCCGACGTAGATAATTGAAATGGGATACACACGTGCGTGGCTTGTCGACACTCTGTAACTTTTGGGTTAAAGCCACAATATGCGCATCTACACGCTAATTTCTCCAGTACTAGACTAGCAAATACTTCGTGTCATTCATAATCATACTACCTTATGACAAAATAAATTCTAGTTCCTCCCATTTCACTGCGCGTTGTCTTATAAAAAGTATTTGAAAATACCTCCAATGTTGTTCAAATTCTCCGATGTTGTTGACACTTTTGCGTTGCTCTGCCAAGCAACCGTACAGCGAGTGTAGCAAAGATTTCTACGGCCCGTGTGCGTTTTTTGCTCGCACGCTGCTAGCGCAATGAGATGTTATCGTTCGCGATATCAAGCTTAAAATCAATACGTTATTCTCAGAGTTTATTACGCTGCCTATTATTACTTTCCCAATAGCCATTGATGTTACATACACTTCAGTTCACAATACTACAACTATCTTAAAATGTAAACGACTATATTCTCTGCTCAACACCCGTAGCAACATGTGACGTCACCTAACCGATTCGGGACGAAATTGCTTGGAAAACAATTCGGCGTTGGCGCCAGATTACCAGATTTCACACCTCTTTCTTGTGGGTTTTAAGCAAACGCGCAGTGAAATAGGAGGAACTAGAGTTTATTTTGTCATAAGGTAGTGTGATTATGCACGTCACAAAGTATTTGTTAGTCTAGTACTGAAGAAATTAGCGTGTAGATGCGCATATTGTGGCTTTAATAGATATGAACCGATCCTGGCCCATTCTAGTACAGATCAAATATAGCCTGTCTATTGTACTCATTTCCACAACAAATGAACATGCTTCTGCTAATGCTTTTCCCAGAAGAGCTTTCATTCCTCGTAAAGAATTACAATAGAACTTTTTCTAAGGAGGAAACTTTTTTAATGGGGGGGGGCCTTCTTTTTTTGGGAGCTCCACCTACCTTTCCTGCTTTACAATGGATAGCTGCTACGTTTGCCTCATCCTCCGCGAGCCATTTGTCAACATCCTCACAGAAGGGCTTCAATAGCTCCAGCTGTGGCGGGTGATGATCTTCGAACGGATAGCAGGCAACACGTTCGTGGAACTTTCTCGGAGCGTAATATCTCTCCGAACACCTGTGACGGGTGCAAACAATCGCATGTCAACAACCAGATGTCTGCTGAACTAGTATGGTTTGAGGATAGCCACAGCATCTATATTATTAATTCATCGACGGTGGTCCTGAACAGAGTACAACAGCAGTAGACACACATCATTACACTACCCATGACTTTATGTGCTGTAATACTTGCATATTAACTGCTAATATAAAATTACACAAGTATCAAAACATTACTATGACAATACCAGAAGTTCGACCTATACTAGGTAGCTCAATAAGATTTTGCCGCTGACTAGCCATTCGTGTACAAAGCATTACCGCAATATAACTAGCTCACAATGTTAGAGAAACTTTTCTTCCACTGTTGCTTATGGAGAAAGTCAGCATACCCAACACCACTCCAATTTACCCATCTTCCCCCACAGAAATTTTTAGTGGCACTTGTTCATCACTGCAAAACACTAGGAAGTTCAGGCAAAGAAGACATCTGCATAAAAACCAATGTGATTTTGGTAGGAACAAAAGAACTTTACAGTTTTTACCAGTGACACAAAATAACTGACTTAACCTACGACCTAAATAACTTAGTCTGGCAGGCACATTTGGCCTATTGGAAATAACCTTTCAACTTTGGAAAAAGGTCAGAGTCAACGCTCTGAAGCAGCAACCAGCAAATAAATTAACCAGTTTCAGTAATTGGGTAAGAAAAACAATTGACGCGTAATAATATTCTTAGTTTTCTTGCAACAAAGTCTCTAGAGTAATGGGAACCATACCCACTAGCTGGCACCTAATCACTATCCCCCTGACAGCTAAAACAAATCCATGGTGTGAGCAAACCCCACTTGTAACCAACACATGTGGCAAGTGATGTCAAACCATCACAACAGTCCAACACTTGCAACCAATAACAATGAGACCAAAAAGGTGACATGAACCCATATACTGTTCAATTTGAAAAGTTGGCAGGATTTTACTACGAATTTATTACTGAGAGTTTACATTTCCTGCGAGAATATGTGTCATGCAACTACTCTGTGCAACTTCCTCTTTATACTATTTCCGCTTTCCTTCTCCCGAGATGCCTTCCTGTGATACCGGAACCACGTTTCCTCTTGTACAGTTTCCTCTATACCCACATACATGTCTGAAACACCTCGTTATATACAAGTGGGATAGTACTATAATGAATTGCCCTGAAAAGTCTGCTGGAATTTTATTTAGAATAACTTAAGACAATAGCCTGAGCTCTATAAGACAACAACACAGAGATACAGTGCTATCAACAAACATTTGTACATTCATACCATCTTCAATTTCAAAACATTTCATAATTTTTCCACCAATATTAATTTAATCTTCTTTCTTTATGGCTTTTTAAATATATTCAGACACCTACAGACTACAGTGCACCAGCAAAATGTGCAAAAGTATAAACTATAATTTAATGCATCATTGGAAATCATCGTGAATACACCAGACACATCAATAATTAATGAGCTAATAAAAAACAGAACTACCTCATTAATTTGCATTTCAAACCCTCCCCAACATCCATGATTCAACAATATTTTGTATTTTAACACACTATATCACAGCCTGTACTCACAAAGGAAAGGTTTTGTACAAATCTAGCTGTATAATAAATAAAATGTTTAATAAGATTTGTATTCTAACGAAATCTTAATTGAACCAAAATGTTAATAGCAGGAGACTAACTTTAATTTGTTTAAGGCAAGAAAAATTTTACCATCGGTTTGATCAGAAATGTTATCACACCACAACAGATAAGAGGGGCATCAATGCTAACACTTTCTTCAAAGAGCAACATCACTGTTTAACAGCACTTTTTACATGAACAAAGAGGGATACATAGACAAATTATGAAGGGCATGGGTACAGAACCAAGGTAAAACAGCCACAGTGGGTTATTGCTATGAATATTGGCCCATTTTTGGAGCACCATGGCAAGTATGGAAGGCAACCATGGCACTTGCATTCAGTATATATACATTCAGTCTGTAATAGTACCCTCATTAATCACACGTATGTATACTGGGATTATGTGTCTGTATACTATAAATAGCAACACGAGTATTTTTTAATTCATCACATAGACACGGGTCTGTGTGAATCCTAATCAATGAGGATTCGCGTTTCTAATGACGCAAGTTCTAAATGCGAAATAAACTTTGCATTGCAAAGGAATTCATGGTAAAACATTTATCACAACAGATTACGAAATAAAATCACTGTCACGCAGATGTGATCACACAGTTATTTACAAACTCTTGCCTTTAAAAAACCTAGCATTTTCAATAACTAGTGTTGTGTTACGGATTAGTAAATATAACATGTACGATGCATTAACATGCACAAAATAAAACACAATAAAACAGACACTTACAGGTTATAGATTTTGTAGTGTCCTGGATGCTTTTGATCCAGAAATCTGCAAAGAAATCAACCATTTATCATAAATAAAGAGAAAACTTACACTGGCAATATAAAACAATACAGTATGTTATGGGTGTCATCTTAAAGCTGTGAGCAAATAGAAACATTTTGTATCAGCTAGTCATGAGCACATTACCCACAACACTTAGCTACCTATATTTTCACTTCTCTGGCTGTAGGTCTTACTTATATTTGGCAAGGCATAGTGATAAGAATAATGTACATAACTGAAAAAAAAACTATTAGGCAGCATCAGCTACAACACCTACTCAGTAAAGGCAATAATAATTATAAGTGCAATGCATCATCATAAAGCCTCAAATGATTGTTAACAACGTTAAGCAAACTGCGATTAGGCCAAAACAACATATACGTGTGGTTACCGTTACATGCCGAAAAAAATAGGGTAGGTAGGTAGGAGAAACATTTTATTTTCTTGAAATATTTTATTTACGAACCATGTTCGAAGGATGGCAGGATTCCTTTTGAAGCAGGAACTGTCTAATTCATTTTTTTATTTATTTTTTTTACTTTGAAGAAAATTGACAATTAAATGTTTAGGGTCGCTGGGAATAAATAGGGTCGGTCGGGAAACCGTAACCACACCTATATTTTGATTTGGCCTTACGTGAGGCATGCATTACGGAGTGCATGTTTAAAATTACAGACCTCGCACACAGAAAACTTACTCTTTGCTAATATGACTTACGGTCCACTGCTATAAACATCGCAAAAATCTGTCTAAGTATTCATTTTAAGTACCGCCACAAGTGCTTCAAGTAAAGAAGTAAAGCACGCAAGCCATTCTTCTACATTTCCATCAGGGTACATACCTACTATTCTAATTTGGAAGTGAGGCATAAATAACCATTTCATACCATATATGCATAGGATGCAAAGTTTCAAAATTTGGCATTATACTTACTTCACTACATCATCTATATTATTCCTGTAGACACCTTCAAGCTTTTCTGCTGGAAATCCCATAGCAATAAGGTTTGGACAAATATCTAAGCATCATGTTAAGGTATATTGAAACGGACCCAATAAAAACGTGCTTACGTGACCTATGCAGATGCTTGAATTTTGTCAGCTCGTGGAAGAATTAAAGTTTTACAAAGCATAAACACTAATAACTAATTTATTACAGATGGAGGTGAATTAAACTCTTCCTTACCAATGTGTAATAAATGCAATTTTATGTATTTACAGACTCTATTTAGACACAAGTTTGCAACACTAGAAAAGCTCTATTCACTAGGTTTTACACTTACCAGTCGATTAGATAAACAACAAATTGTTAGATATTCACAAACATTTTCTATAGATCTATGGAATCAGAAATGATAATACAAAAGGATACATGTCAGATCCAAGTCAAAGCCTTCTTCTTGGTGTCGCCGTTTATTCTTGCTCACCAGCTGTCTAAAACGGTTTGTCATTTTGTTTCCACTCATGGTACAAACCAAGAGAAGGTGCCCATCAAATATCAGAAAACTGCAAAATGTAAAAAATACATGTGTTTATAGATGTACACTTGATCATGATCACTGATCATGATACTTGATGCTACCATGCACTGCTCAAGATAAGAAGTAATATGACTTCAAGGACACAAATAACAGCTAGAGAAGTCAAGTGACTAGAAATGGCAACTGGCTTTGGGTATAATTGCCAGATCACTGTTTGATGCTGCTACTACGACTCTCATACTGGGATTTTAAAATAAAATGCCATTGTTATCCAACTCCACACCACTGAAAGCCAGTACATCATATATTAGCTTGTCTTACTTTTATCCATATAACAGATGATTTACCTTGCTTTTGTCTATCAAATATTTAGCTGACCCTGCAATGGCTTGCCATCAGCTGAAAATAAATGCAGTATCCAGAAATAATATTACATAGAGTTATGCAGAATTACACCTGAAAGTTATTGCAGACTGTACAAACCTTGACGCAGCATATACTATATAACATGATAATACTCTAGGCCAATGGCAATGCCAATCACTACTCGCAGCTAGGGCCTGCATACCTCCCAAATCCCATTGGTTGATACAAATCACGTGCCTGAAACTCCCGTTTTTAAGGATACTCTCCACGTTGTGCACGGGTATTGCTCTAGTGAAGATTAAACGTTTATTGGCGAATGAATCGAATCAATCACTTGTTCTATTTATAGAGGAGATATATCTCTATGCTCAAGCCAAAAAATTTCATGAAATTTCCAGCACCTAATTATGTTCCCACACAAATTTTGAATTTTTATGTAAAAATGGTATTTTGGATATTTCTCAATTACCAGAATGAGTGAGGATACAAAATTTTTGCCACATGTTAAGCACAATATGGACCAAAATAGCGCGTCAGGATTTTTCTTTAATTTTCATATTTACCGAGAAAACTCGAAAAAACTGCTTAAAAATCAAGTTGTGTGTTAAAATATAAAATTTTAGCGAATAAAGAGGCATAACTAATAAAGTACGGCACTTAATAACAATCCCTGATGCGCTTTTTTACCACAATATGTTACCATTAAAACGAGTGTAAAATTAAATTAATCCGAGTTGTAATCACAGAGAAATATCCATTTATACATCGGCTACTATGTCAGAAATCGAAACGGAGAAATGAGGGTTTTTCTATTTTTCACAATGAGTGACCGCCTGTTGGCAAAATGGTGTGAACGTATGTGATTATATCTATTGTTTTAGTACTTATGCGACATAATCCATGACTAACTGGACCACTAAATTGGTAAAATGTTTCCCCTCTTCCAATGCACTTGAGAAAATTCTGAGAAAGTTACGAGGTGACACAACGTGCAATTCCATGCAAATGGCGCGAATCACGCCCTTGCCTGCGTCACTGTCTTACAAACGCGCGCTTATGTAAGTGCGGTTGCGAGGTGTGAGAGAACTATTTTAGGTCCTGTGGCGATACTTATTGGATCAGAGAGTAGTACAGCTGCTCAAGCAGGCCCCCACCAACACTACCGCACGGAGCAATCTAGCGCGCCAGCCCGCCCGCACTGCCGCCCCTCGGCCACCCCACCAGCCGCCGCGCAGGCGTGAGCGGTTGATGTTGTCTAGGAGTAGATAATAGCGGAATTCCCTATTATCTACCTCTGATATTGAATGTGAAGTCACTGGGCTCAGTGAATATCGTGAAAATGCTGGTTGTATCATGTGTCTGACGTCATAATGACGTCAGCCGCGGCTCACTACACATGTACGGGGGCAAGCAAAAACGCTCGGACAGTTCACATGTACCGTTATATGGATAAATGAGCATGTACAAAGGTGGCGCATAGTGTTAGCCATCGAATAAAGTTGAAAACGAAATATCGATAAAATTTCATGCACAACGTGGAGAGTATCCTTAATAAAACTTTTATGGTGCATTGTGACCCTAATCCTAACCCTAACCCTAATCCTAACCCTAATTACAATTTAATTTAAAAAATTAACTAGATTTGTATCAACCAATGGGACGTTGGGAGGTATGCAGGCCCTAGCCGCGAGTCCAATACCTACACAAGCTGTTGAAAACTCTACCACATTCTATAGTACTTTGCACTTTCATTGTAATTAAAGATATGATTGAACTTAACAGGGGAATTTGGTGAACACGATATTAATGAAGATTATGTACCTTGCTAAATTGGCACTGTATTCAGTAATCGGGTTATTAACTAGTGACAACTACTCACTACTAGTCACAGTCGGAATTACAGCACTTAAATTCTCACAAATGTAACCATGACTGAGCAACAAACGGGTACCATCGCACCAGGTAGAGATGCCCCAGTAGAATTAAAACAATAGATCGTAAAAATCAAGTTTTTCTGTGTGCTGTTCATACAATTCCCCACACTAAATCAATCCACCATATGTAAACCCTTTTTTTCAAACATACAAAACAACTGGATTGTTCCCACAATCCTGGTGCCTGGAAATTTTGTCGATGGAAGATTGATCGACAACAGAAGGAACAAACAACACACATACACGTTACACTAGATAGCCAAACAAATCCTTACGTATCAAAAGCTTGCTATAGTTTGTCACACATCTCATTGCCTCCAATTAAAATACTCAAATGTCCACAACACGGGAACATTTCATCATTACATGTTACGAACCTGCCATCATGGCGTCTTCCTCTTGCAAGCCTACGCGCATCCGGTGCTACATCGCCATACGCGACGTCAATTTCTCTAGATTTCAGTAATCAGTAGATTTCAGGTAATTATAGAAATCAACTGCGTTGCACTAGCAGCAAATAGATTATATTCTTAATAAGTCTTTCACATGCATTTCACCAATACTGTTTCAACAATAATCTTTCCGTGGAAAATGGCGGATTGATACACTGAAGTCGTTTAACGAGGTGAATCGAGGGCCAGTGATTTTCTCCGCGAGGGAAATGTCATAGAAAACATGATCGGGCTCAAAATAATATGTATCTGTATAACGAGCGTGCATTTTATCAGAGCTAGCAATGATAATGTAGAATAATCACATATACGGCGTGTTCTATAAAATATTAACAAACATTTAATTTATATAAGAAGACCCTGCGAAAAGTCTAGAGACACTGCGATTCACGTTTATTATGTTATCGACTTGTGCGGCCTGGTGCTAAGTACTCACGCCACAAGTATGGAGTTTTCAGGTATTCGAAATAACGAAGTAGTTGGAATCGTGCTGAGGCTAACCATTTTTGGTGCAGTTACATATTACGGAATAAAGTGGATGGTGGAAACTCTAGACCCCACCAAAAAACAAAAAGTCGAGGCCCAAAAGAGGGTAGGTTCGACCATAGTCCAAACACATGTGTTTGTGTATATGGTTCGACTCGCGTGTCTGTCACTCATTCAGTCATTGACTCAATGTCATGACTGCATTCCAATGGCAGTTCAATTATTATTAATATTATAAAATTCTGTCTAGTTACAGACTCTAGTACTGAGACTACTCATTAACTCAGTATTCTATTCTCTAGACTCTACTCTCTACTCTAATGTCCTTAGTGAATTCGGTTCAAGGATAGAGAACATGGTGCCCATTGAAACCTATGTCATTTTCGTAAATGTGGGGGTAGCCCCTTTAAAATCGACAGGGGTACTGGTGAGGGTGTTCTTTGTTCATTTCAACCGATAAACATGATGTGAGTTAACAGGAAGTGTCGAAAAAAATGCGTTGAAGCGACCCTACTCGCCCGTTTCTGACCATTGCGACGCGCGAGCATTTCCCGTCACCTTCCTCTGCTAGGGCCCTGAAAACTATGTCGGTATTTGCGCGTGCCATTAACGGACTCATATTACTTCCTCTCCGCAGTAAATTACCTGGAAATCCGTTGCTATTCGATCTTTTTGGGAGAACTCATAAATCACCGCCCACAAGATGGCCATTGTTATTGACTGTACCCTGCTGCCCTCTCGCGGCAATATTATGCATTCGCACGCCCGCCCGCTCGACCTCTTCCAGCAGCAGCAGAAACAGCAGCAGCAGCAGTTCTCTTGCGGCCGGTGCGCGCTGGCCGCGCGTAAAGGTCCATACCGTCATCATATACAGTGCCCCCTCTCCCAGCTGCCAGCTGCCAATTTTGCTGCTGCGCGCACCTGTCTAATCGCCTGGTGTAGCCTGTAGTGTAGTGGGATCAGGTGCTAGTGTAGGTAGTGTAGTGTTAAGTTAGTGCTAGTGGAGATGTAGCTGTAGGTGGTGTGTGTATGTTCAGGCGTTAGGTTAGAGATACAGATAGGGTCCAGTTAGGTTCCAGGTTAGGGATACAGATAGGGTCAGGGTTAGGTTAGGGTTAAGGCGCGGGGGCGAGAGGGGAATTAAAACCAAAAGGATAGGCGTCAGGTGTAGGGTTTAGGGTTAGGTTAGGGTTAGGGTCAGCGTTCAGCGGATAGGGTTAGGCTGTTAGATTAGGGTTAGGTTGGTAACGGAATTAGGGTTAGGCGGTAGCCGTAGGTTACGCGTTAGGTCCGCTCCATTCTCCATTAAGCTATTCTCGTTCTTTCCGCATATACAGTAACAAACACCATCAATATTAATACATAGGCATAACACATAGTTTTAGTTTCATATGGTATTGCCATTTATTCGTTTTTACACTGTATCTGTTCTCGCGCATATCAGTCATCAATTCCCCGTCAATCATCCTTCGGCTCTGCCGTATCAGTCTCCAGTAATAGTCTGACAGCAGACCAATTCATTCATCGGCAGATGACACGCTAGCTATCGAACTACTACTTGGCGTACAACCATCTACAAACAGGCTATTACCGCCTTATTGGGGGCGACGGTGCGATGGGCTCTATCCTACTATTATCCTACGACTCCCTAGTCCCTACACCCCTATTCCAGGCTTTGATTTTTAAGGGGCGCGAGTCGCGCTCGGCGCTCGCACCGCGCACCCGCAAATTCGGCCATGGTGGCGCGCATCATCGCGCCTCATAAAATGGTTGAAAATCGGCGCCACCAAAATTTGTCATATTACGATTACATAGCGACTCCATAGACGTTATCAATGTAGGGCGCGGTACAAAAGGTTAGCAACAACACAAAATTTGCCGGTGTGTAAGTAACTGAACGTATGGCCAGAGTACAGGGTCGTGAGTTATACCTTCTGGTTTTATATAATTATAAATAACAACTAACAACACGCACTCCAATACGAGTCACTATACGTTAGCCACAGCACTTACCTGCTGTGTCTTCTACTATACGTGCGCGAGAAAGTGGTTTTCTAGCGACGCTGAACAGTCGTAGGCTGTCGAGGGCTACATACGTGGTACTAGTTACAAGTAATTTGGCTCATTTGTTGATGGATATGTGATGATAGGTTTTTGTGCTCATGAATATGCGTACATGGATTAGAATCTCTAGGATGGAAATCAGAATAAATGAAAACAAGATTTAATTTTACATACGAGTCAACTTCTTTTATTAATCTGTGTTGCTAGTGTTTGGGTTGTTGGTATGAAAGATGTAATATCCTGACGAAGCAGTTGAATGAATGAAGGTGCAGATGAAATGATAAGTCAGTTGGATTGACATGACATCCACAATTTTCGTCTTGGATTTTCACTCTAGATCTGCCCGAGATTGGTCATGATTTCCTTTATCCACACCCCAGACCCGGTATGATGGAGAGCCTCAATGCAGCTTCTCTATCATTCCCTGTTAAGTGTGATTTTTAGTGGAGCTCTCCATCATGCCTCTAAGGCCAATCCGAGGGAGCGAGTGGGGGGCGGGCGGCCATATCCGTGTAACTCGGGGGTGTGTGATTTTTTTTAGTGGAGCTCTCCCTGCATGCCTCTTACGGCCGCGGCCAGCCAAGAAAACAAAATAAGGCTCATCACACGACCACTTAGCCCCGAACCTGACCACCCAAAAAAAAAAAAAAAAAAAAACAAAAAAAAAAAAAAAAAAAAAAAAAAAAAAAAATTAAAAAAAAAAAAAAAAAAAAAAAAAAAAAAAAAAAAAAAAAAAAAAAAAAAAAAAAAAAAAAAACATAAAAAAAAATAAAAAAAAAAAAAAAAAAAAAACCTCACAATCGCCCCGAACCGCTTATCACAGGCCCCGGACCTCGTGAACCCATGCACGCCAAGAAAGCAAAAAAACACAAAAAAAAAAAAAAAAAAAAAAAAAAAAAAAAAAAAAAAAATAAAAAAAAAAAAAAAAAAAAAAAAAAAAAAAAAAAAAACACACGCAAAAAAAAAAAAACACAGAAAAAAAGCCACGCACCTCCCGATAGCAGATCCACCACATAATCCGCTCCAAGGGCTCGCGCGCTCGAGAGGCCGCGCACCCCCCCAGCTGTGATTATGAGAGCGTGAAAGACCCCCTCCTGTCCTCTAGGGGCAGTCATTCGCTAGCCTCCCCTGTACTTTTCAAATCTGAAAGCCCTGCTCAACACTCTCAATCTCACTCATTCTCGTCCCATACCATCCTACATCGACGCACAGCCCTCACCAACATCACCACACTTCCACGGTCAATGTTCATTGATGCCGTACACATGTCCCATCGTCATCTGGCATGGCTGCAACGCCCGCCCCACGCCGACGCCCCCGCGCACCCCCACGTACGCACACCGACGCACAACACTATAGCACAAGTCATGTCTACTGCATTGCCGCTTGCACCACGCCCCTCCCCCCCCTCTCCCATCTCTGGCATGCGCCCTGCTGTAGCTACTGCGTACTCTCCTCCATTCCTCGCGCCGCCCTCGCCTCGCCTCCGTCCCCGTCGACCCCCGCGCCGCGCGCCTGTCCCACATAAAACAAACCCTCGCCGTGCCCACCAATGCCACCATTACCCCCCTTATCGCCTACCGTCCACCTCGACGCCCCGCCCCAGCCGGACCACGCCCTACCTACTCTACCCCTATACATGCCAAAAGCTATATATACTCTATGACCTCTCATCACCTCCCCCGCCATTCTTCCCTGTGCGCCCCGTCCGCCTACGCACCTTCATACTATTCACTCCTGACGCACACCTGTGTCCTCCACCCTTGTTCCACCCTCTCACCACACCCAGTACCCTCTCACACCCTATACTATGCCCTTTCCGCCGCCCTGCGGCCGCAACCGCAAGCGCACCCTATACCTATACTCATACTATACAACTCCCCTATCTCACAAAGTTTCTAGTCGCACCGCTCCCCCTTGATACCACGCCATCCCGGTCGCAGGCGCCAGTCGCCACGATTTCCACCCCATTTGCCCCCGAAGTGACCCCTACTACAGCTACCCTATACGCCCGCGCTTTCCTCACCAAACCATAAGAGATTTATATATTATCATCATACATCCCTACTCACCATCTGCACACAAGCGGCCATGCCAACTGTGCTGGTCGCAAAGGCTTGTATATTCATGCATAGGGAAATACGTAGTCGCGAACTCCGCCCACGAGCGCGTCGCACGCACAGAGAGAGGCAAGCAGAGAGGGGACCGGGGGAGCTGTGATGTAAATGGTGTGTATGGTGCTGTGTATATATCGGTATAATGGCCTTTATACTCTCATGTATCCGCTATCACTATATATATATATATATTATACTATGACATATATATATCTATAACTAGCATCTCACCATGCTATATACACTGGTGGAACTATGTCGGTATATATATGTATGTATAATATACATCATATACTATATCATATAATACTCGAATACATTATCCATCATAATATACATATATTATATTATTATATACTATATATATATAATCACTCACATGTGTGGAATATGAGTCTCCATTATATATGTCATCGTATACATTATCCCTTATGTCTATAATATATGTATAATATGACATATAATCTATATAGTATATTATATAGGATATAATATATAGTAATCATCGTCTATATATAAATAATTAATATATAATCTCGGGTATAAGACTGAAGCCGCACATAGCACACAGTGTACTAGCTAGCTGGCGCACATCTATCGGCAGAAAACCTTTTATTTGGCCCATGTTCTACTATCCTTGAGCCGGTGATATTCGCGCTAAAATCCTCTGGCAACGACCATCGCGCTGAGTTGATGGCTGTGATGCTATGTGTCGAGTGTACGCAGTGGCCCAGTCACAGGCATTGAAGCGTCCTTCAATAAAAATATAATGTACGAGCAATACGTCTACTTACTACTTGTATGTACTACCAACATTCTAATGTTTCTTATTACTCTCTGTATCACCTATTATTGCCGACAGTTGCCTGTAAAATTCCGTCCAAATCCTACGTCCGAACATATACGGCTGCCGCGCCATTGCTTGTCGGGCCGCGCGCGACTGTTGCGAGCCTCTAACTTGTGATATATATATATATGAGGTCAGGAAAGGCCGATCGCAAGATCTCGCTTGACGTCGCTATCACCTTTCACGCCCACTTGACAAACACCATCCAACAGCTTCCATCTTTGTTTGTATGGTCAAGCAACAGTGTTCACTTCGTATAAAACAATGCTATGTGTCGTACCGAGCTTGTCACGCAAAATAACAAAGACTTGCATCGAAATTCTCGCGTTTGCAAACATTCACAGTACATGTAAATGGGCCTGTCAGAATAACAGGGCCTATAGCACTATATAATATTCGGAGTAATAATAGGAGAGAGTGTGACATCAATAACAAGGGAATTCGTCATTTACTGAGCGCTTTATAATACCTAACGATTTACTAACCGTAACTCATCCCAACTGAGCTCAAATCGCGACCACAGCTACATTCGCTCCATCCATCTTACGCAAACGATTTCCTCGTAGACACCGCAATCCGCGAGAATAGCGAGCCTTAAAACGCATATGAACGATCTCCATTCTCTGGCCATTCATCCAATCCCAGTTGCGCGCCGTTAATTCAAACAAAAGGCGCTACCCTAACGCGGCTATTTGCTAAGCTGGAGAGGCAGCTGTGGCCTCGCTGGGAGACTTAGGCTCAACCAAGCTCGGCGATGATACCTTTCGACACCGGGGTGACCACAGTACACAGGCACCTTCTGTACATAGGCCTGGCTGCGCTCTCACGCAACGCAGCCAACCCAAATGGAGTTAGCGCGATGAGGTTGCGTCCGGACTCTCCAGTTCTCCCTCGCGACGCCATCAGACACAATTAGCTATCCGAGAGAGCAAACACTCAGCGACTGCGCGCCAGGTTGCTGCCTTTTGTCTGAATTATAGGCGCGCAATGGGCGTTGGATTAATGGCCAGAGAATGGAGAATCGTGTCATACGTTTTAGGCTGTATCTCCGGATTGCGGGTGTCTACGAGGAAACGATTTCGTACGATGATGGGCGAATGTACTGTGTTCGATTTGAGCTCAAGTTGGATGAGTTACGCGTAGTAAATCGTAGGTATTATAAGGCTAGTAAATGACGAATTTCCCTTGCTTATTGATGTCACACTCCTCCCTATTATCTACTCCTGATATATATAGACTGGGACTCGCTCCCACCTTGATTACCCATCAAGTGACTAAGCTAAGCCGAGAGGTGGGAGCGAGTGTCAGTCTATGGACTATAGGCGGCGCGCAGGCGGCGCACTGCTTTCCAACTCCCATACGAGCCTCGCCATTGGAACGTTGCAAAAACATTGCAGCGTTGCGGCGCAAGAATGAGGTCACGAAGAGCGCCAGTAGGTGTTTCCTGATTCTGACAGCCATTTACATTACTGTGGAAGGTTCGCGAACGCGAGAATTTCGTCAGTCTTTGTGTGATTTCGCATGACACAGCTCGGTTACGAACAGAGACATTATGTTTTTATAACAAGTGAACATTGTTCTTGACATACAAACAAAGATGGAAGCTGTTGGATGTGTTTTCGTGCTGTAAAAGTGTGAAATCAAGCGAGCGTCGAGCAAATTTTGCGATCGCGCTTTCCTACCTGCTATATATACAAGTGTAAGCATGCAACAGTCGTGCCGCGAAAGCAATGGCGCCGGCAGCGTATATAGTTGGACGTAGGATTTCGACAGAATTTACAGGAAACTGTCGGCAATAATAGGCGAAAGAGAGTATAGAAACATTAAGAATTTGGTAGTAAATAGATTTCGTATTTAGTTAGCATTATATTTTATTGAAACGCTTCAAGTGGCTGTGGTAACAGTGCCAGCCCGGATGTCGGGGAACTCGGCTCGTGGGTCTACAATCTCTAGATGATCCGCCTGGAGATCGGGTAGCTAAGCTCGACTACACACAGATTTATGATTGATTATGAATTGTTATATGATTATGCTCTACAGTCTACGCATACCACACACTTATATTTTCATACAAATACATCATTTCTTCATTTTTTCTCGATGTAAAAGATTGTTTACAGTACATGTTTTATAATTTGATTATTATTTGAATTATATGCAATAAAGATTTAATAATATTAATAATAGACGTTCCGGCATTGGAGCGTGTGAAACATCTCAGATGAGTTAGCCTGTGAGTTGAGCTGCCACATCTCCAGGCAGGTCATCTCGACCCACGAGCCGAGATGGCTGAACTCCAGGCGGGTAAACTCGCCACAATGCAAGACAAATTGGTGGCTGGGTCGAGTTAACCAATGCCTCTCTTTAGCACTAGCAGTAATAGGGAGCTCCAGTCCGTAAAACAAATACTATAACTAAACCTTTACGTAAATGGGAAATGCCGACAAATCAAAAGTTTAACTCAAATGATCGCAGACATAAAGTCAGTCTACAAGAGCTTGAGTCTACCGGACCTTCCACCGTTTGTTGCCAAAACACTGGTGTGTACCGTGTTATCCCAGAAAATGCGAAATTTTGTTGGAGCTGTTGAACCAAAGGCGTTTTCTAGGGGCAGTTCCAGGAGATTTAACACAAGTGTCGCACCCATTCCATTGTCCATTAATCGTCGACTGCAGTAAAAAAAATACACAGGGGGGCTCGGAGCGATTTAGCCCCACGAAATGCCCAAAAGAGCCCCCGAAAATTTGCATAGAGTTCAATGCAAACCAAATTTTAGAGTGCTATTTTCATGCACGCGAGCTTGAAAAGTAGCCCCCGAAAAATAAATTTTTTCCCTGGTCGACTGTATCGACTTGATAATCTAGACTTTAAATTATGTATACTATTTGCAGGCTGAAAACTTAATGAAAAAGATTGGCGTAAGTAATTGTGAGAAATTGACCGAGTACGAAATGACAATTGCATCACACCTTGTGGATCCCCTGAGTATTCAGGTAGGTACCCTGCATACATGTGAATTAAACAATTGCTTCTAGGATTAGGCTATATATACATACATATATTAGGTTTTATGTTACATGCAAGGTATTGCTTGTAATTTAGCACAAATTATTTTTATATTGTGAGTTGCATGAATATTTACTCTATAATAAAGTAACCAAAAACATAATACATTACTATGCGCAATGCAACCTGGTAGTCAATGTTTGAGTTAGTTTTAATGGTGAGGAAATTGAATTCCTGATCATTTTAGATTTCCTGGGATGACATTGGTGGCCTTGATGATGTAGTCACTGAGCTCAGAGATACCGTTATACTACCCTTGAAAAAAAGGGATATGTTTGCTCAATCAAAACTTCTTCAGCCTCCAAAAGGTACCACTTCTAGGTGATGTTATTACCTCCGCCCAACGGAGTTGGAGGAGGTTATGTTTTTGCTCTCGTGTGTTCGTGTGTTCGCGCGATCGATATTAGTGCGGCGGTTGATCGATATCACCCAGCGAGCCAGCTCGTAACACATACATGTTACATGGAAGCGTGTACATGTCAGTACGCGGGCGTATATCGTGGGTTATTTGTGTGTTCGTGAGTCGTATGGCGTATAGTGTATGTCGTCGGCGGAGGTATGCACTCCGTGAGTGCACTCTGTCTAGTTTCAGTTATTGTGGTTTGCAAGAAGTTCATACGAACGTTTATAAATGTGAGGTTGGTTCTGCAGAAAGTCTTAAAACTGAATAGTTGCAATAAAACGCAATGTTTGTTGCTGATTTAGTTATGCTTTTTTGTTAATGCAGTTTTTTAACCTTGTTCAAGGATGTTTGCTGCATGGCCCACCAGGATGTGGGAAGACTATGATAGCTAAGGCAACAGCCAAGGAAGCAGGTAAGATATGCTGTGCATTGGGATAATTATGAGCAACAGACAGGTTACTGAACAAAGGTCTTCTGTTAAAACGGAGACTTTACGTGATCTATGCACAGCACACTTCTATGCCATGCATATGTATTATTGTAGTCCATGATCATGAATTGGTATTTATATTTCATACAATTTTATTTTGCACAGGTGCAAGATTCATCAACTTGCAACTGTCCTCTCTAACAGACAAGTGGTATGGTGAGTCACAGAAACTAGCTGCTGCTGTATTCTCACTGGTAAGCTTGTGGCAACTTAACATTGCATCATTTTGTGTCTATAAACTATTTGCATGTATGCTTATATGTGCATTGTTGTGTGTGTGAGTCAGAGAGTGAGATAAATATCTAATAACTATTTCGTAAAGCCGTGTGACTTTTATAATTATCTTACCTAATTACTTACTACTTTTTTGGTAACTATTTTGACAGGCTGTGAAGCTACAACCAAGTATCATATTCATTGATGAAATGGGTAGGTATCTGTTTTGTTCTTTCTATGCTCATGTGATTAATTGTGTGTTGTATGTTGTCAAGAGTACATAATAGAGAAGAGTATGACATGGTTTTAACAGCGTTTTGCATAGTGTTTAACTTGTAAATATTCTATCAATATGTGAATAAATATATTCAAACATTACCTTGTTTTCGTCTATGATTCTCCCTTTTAATCATATGACACCACAAATTTTACCTGAAAATCGTATGTGTTCTTCAAAAAAGTTATTTGAATACGACACGGTTTCGCACAGTTTTCACGCATGGATGCATGTTTTAGACCAAACTTTGATATGGGATTAGTGTTCTATTGTCTATGACGGAACTTTGGGGGCCGTAAAGGATATTAGGCATCGAATTGTATTCAGCGTGCAGCGTTTCCAGCGTGCTAAAAATAAATGTGCTCACGGCCAGCTAGCTAGTAGCTGATTCCCTTACGGCCCCCAGCGTACCGTCATTAGAACACTAATCCCATATCAAAGTTTGATCTAAAACATGCATCCATGCGTGAAAACTGTGCAAAACCGTGTCGTATTCAAATACCTTTTTGGAAGAACACATACGATTTTCAGGTAAATTTATGGTGTCATATGATTAAGGGAGAATCATAGACGAAAACAAGGTAAAGTTTCAATGTATTTATTCACATATTGATAGAATATTTACAAGTTGAAAACTATGCAAAACGCTGTTAAAACCGTGTCATACTCTTCTCTATTATGTACTCTTGATGTTGTGTATATAATGCAGGGTTTTAGTAGGGTGGATCCATGATGTAACTAAGGAGGGGTGTTTTTTGTGGTCACAACGTGAGGTGTACCATGCCTGCGTTAACCTACTCGTTGAGGGATATTTCTGCACCGTTTCTAGCGTTTTAAGCAAATGTAGTGTATAGCATGATTTTAAATACAAAAACGAAGAAAGACAAATTACGTTGGACATCATGGTTTGGGAAATAAAAAGTGCGGCAGTATCCACACGAAGCCACCCCTGCATTTGCCCCTGGGTTCATGTGAAAACGTCAGTTAAAGCCAGGATTGCGAATATAATTTCCAACCAGTCTCGTGTTTTTCTCACTTTTACGACACTTACCGTTATTGCTTGAGAAACAGCAACTGTCTAGAGTACCGCTAACATGTCTTAGAACCTTCGTACTTGGCTATATTGACCAAAACATGCACAATTCAAGTTTTGTTTACTCATTTTGATTACCACCACCATTTCTTGCGAATCTCCGACTAGCGCCATCTATTGGCTAATTTCAAAATAGAAACAGTAAACTACACTGAATCAGATGCCCTTTTGTTTTAATTACGTACACTATGGGTGCACATGTAACTTGTTGGTAAATTAAGACTATATTTAGCTATATTTTTTTCGGTTTGTGCGTTTTGGAGTAATGATTTTGCAATAAACTCTTTAACCGAATCGGCCGTCGTTGTGTCGACAGACTCGTTCCTGCGCTCGCGCGACTCGCACGACCACGAGGCGACGGCGATGATGAAGGCGCAGTTCATGAGCCTGTGGGACGGCCTCGTCACCGACCAGGCCTGCTACGTCATCGTGATGGGTGCCACGAATCGGCCGCAGGACGTCGACCGAGCCATCCTGCGCAGGATGCCCGCCACGTTCCACGTCGGCCTGCCCGTAAGCATACTGACGTTTTAACGCCTCTCTTCAAGATACTAACAGAAAAAAGCTACTGAATATCTTTACAACAATTTTCTCTTCAATCCTATAAGACACGTCCAAATATGCTAACAGCTCGAGCCTCAATACACCTAAACTTAGGTGTGCACTGCTGTGCCGCGTATATCTGCTCACGTGACCAACTACAGAACTAGCTTCTCTTCTTGTAGCTGGCTACTGTCGCGCTGTGCAGCATGGTATATGAAGTACTCGGTATACATTATTACGAGACGCAATCTTTAACAGCCCCAGTCGCAGTTTTCGAACCAAATTGGCCGCGTGTTTACGAAGTTGATCTGCTAGTTGACTAGATTGGCATTGCTGTGTGCCCGTAATAATGGGATATGTAGCTAGTTTTTGCATCAAGATCCATACTGAATTTCCTACGTTATTGTCCATCAAATTTGACCGGATTGGTATAAAATTGCAAAACTTACACTCATCTTAAAATTGTTGTGACGAGTGACGGGTGCTGCTCTATTCGATATAATTAATTGTCATAATTGAGTGTGCAGAAATGTAAAAAAAATGGCTATGTTCAATATCAAATGCCATTCATTGATTCCTACTTTCAATTACATACTCAAACATCTCTCTTCTTCATCTACCACCACAGATCTCAATGCACAACTTGTATTGTTACCGGCTTGTTATTTCTCATGGCATTTTTGCATGTTTCAGAGCTTGAAGCAGAGAGAAAGCATCCTGAATATTATTCTGAGGGAAGAATATGTAAGTTGTATTTGTATACCTCTGCAAGCTGCTGTTATGATACTGTACTGGAATCATAATGTATATGTATATATATAAGGAGCACTCAAGGGAAACACCTTATAAAAACTAATGTGTTTACTCAGTGAAGTTAGTTTCACTGTGTAACTGCCAAACAAACAACAAGTGTCTTTTAGAGACACGTGTCGGTTCTATAGGTATGACTGCTTACATAGGTTTGATTGTGTACTGTCGTCTCTGAGTAGAATTAATACCCTACTCACATCATTTATGTATTATATTACATATGAACATCTCGGTGGGTCGTCATTTTGTAGACAGCTGAGGATGTGAGTTTTCACGAGGTAGCCAGGCTAACGGAAGGCTTCTCAGGCAGTGATCTAAAGGAGTTGTGCAGAACGGCAGCAGTGCTTCGGGTTCGTGAATACATAGAAGCTGACGAAGAAGACGGCGACACGCCATTCAGGTATCGTTGTGCAGCCCCGATAACGCAATTGCTGGTCCGTTAATTTTCAGGCTCTAAATGCATGTAAATTTGGTTTCGCACGGTTTAATGTGGGCCTGTGAATTGTGTTAAAATATGGGGATACAGCATTTGTGCACCTTCGTCTGCTTTTACTTGTGTCGCTAGAAAATGTGTGCTCTCCGTTTATACCTGGCTTTTGCTCGCATCTTATTACAGAATGAAAGCAATAAACATGTCAGACCTACTGCAAGCTTTGACAAAGCAAAAGAAATCAAAGTCTGCTGCAATATTTGGAATGTTTGGTTCACCGTTGCCATTAGATTGATGATGATTCCGTGTAGAAATTTTTACTCGTCACTTGATCTTTCGAAGAACGCGACTGAATAGAGTCGGGCTCTCTAATAAGACTATCAGAAGTAAATTACAACAGATTCTGGTCAATGATCTGATATTATTTACGTCTGATACTATTAATTTTGATTATGTGAGCTTCTAGTCAGCAGCTAGTCGGTAACTTAACTATTATTGTCTTGTACACCAGAATTTTTCGTTGTGATGCTTGTGATTTTTCCACTTTATAAACTTGGAAGTTATGCATTGCATATTTGCAATTATGTGTCGGCAACCGTAGCCTAACTCCATAGATAATAGAGTTTTCTAAATTGGTAAATTTTTACTACGTGATAGTAATGCAGTCGTTAGATTAACTTTAATTTTGTTAACACATAGTTTGATAGGCTGTATGTGACAGCACAACCTAACTGTAGTGAATTGATTTTCGGCTGCTTTCAAAAGAAAAATTAGTATCACAATGCACAGCTGAGTACTGAATGAGATTTCATCCTTTCTGCGATTGTTAATTCAAACTTGTTAACATTCATAAGAAAATCGTTATCCAGTGTTATATAATTGTGTTATATATAGTGCAGAAATGTCTGACAGCTCGTTGTCACTAGCGATTGCACGAGATGTATTTTTGGTCTCATGAATTTTAGCTAGTTATTTTGGATACCACAAATTTTACACTGCCCATAAATAGTTGTAAATATCGAAATAATTTTCTGAAGCATTTAGACATTGATGACTGACAAATAGATGGCTGCTTTTAAGAAATTTTATGCTTTTGAGTTTTTAGGGTGTTTTTTAGTAATAGCATTTCCACAGGTGAGATATCATATAACTGTTATGATTACTCCCGTTTTATTAGAGACTGCACCTGCATTTGTGACCCTACCCTAGAAGACCTTACTAAAAACTTAGAAATTGCAATAAATATGAACTGTTACTATATAAGTTACCATAACTGTCACTCCCAATACAAAGTGTACTGAAATTATTATTGTAAGGGAGAAAATACAACATGGATACATCATCACATGCTATCCATTATGTAGCAGTGCCAAGGAAGTACAAAATAATAATAGTAATTAGTGTGGCAAACTATTTATTAAAACCAGTGATGGTTTGCTACATATAAAAACACATTGACATCTACAAGATGATGATCGAACCACTGCAGTTTTGAGAATAACGGTATAAATATTTGCTTTTTGTTTGAAAATGCAATTCTGCACAACACCAGAATTTCTGCAGACTGCTGGCCAAGAATTTGGTTTTCACAAGTAACACCAACAACGTAAATGTCATCGGTTTGATGCAATGAAATACAATGTACGGCTTACAGCCAATTTACAATAATTTCCCGTTCTAGATATTATTTATACTTCGAAGAGTATTCCTGACGTATAACGTGCACGTCGTCTTCCAACCAGCTTTGCAACCTTAATGAACTTCCTCTTCCTAGCATCAGTACATGATGCTAGTATACGAGACCAGATGCAATGCAAAAATAGCAATGCGATAATATCCCTTTACACCATTAGTATGTCTGAGTGTGTGGTTTGTGCTTTCAAATGTGTCTTACAAACTGACTAGAAAGAAAACGCTGTGGCAACCCTTCAAACAGCATTCTCGTGGCATAATGTGAACATACCAGGTGGGAGCACACAGCCGATTGCCGTTTCGCATCATTTCGCTGTTTTTGAGTATTACGCTGAAGGCCACAGAAAAATACATAAAAAATGTACTCATACTTGGCATAAAGTTATGCAACATCAAAATGTGATGTACTTACAAATCGTCATCAATTTAAAGGCACACGGCAACAGTTTAAACAGTTGTATATACTAGGAAAATCGAGGGGTGTTTTTACAGTGAGCAGGTGGGAAAAATCCGACTCATTTCACGTGCAAGAAATTATGCATAAAATTGGAGATTCTTAAAAATGTAATCTTACCTAGCTCTAAACAAACAGCATGCAAACAGATAAAAATCTTTAATTAAAACAACTGAGAATAGGTGGGGCAGTGAGATCACTAGTTCACACAGTAGATACACTATACATCTGCCCTCATCGCTCACTACATTTAAAATTATACACAACATTATTATATGCAACAATTACTTCAAATAACTCTTTCTCTTACAAACACACGAAGTGAAGAACAAGGTGATTAGACAATATTGCAAATGTGCACCAGAATGCATAATATACTTACACACTGCCGCTCTCATGATAACAGGAGTGAATAATAATAGATAATATATTATTATTCTATTATTATTCACTCCTGATGATAACATGCCAGCAATATTACAAAATTTTTCAATACAGTAATTCAAACATGAACTATATTAAAGTGCCACCTCTGTTTCTCGAATAAACACTACAACTGCCACATACGTGCATCGTCAAGACCAAAATCAGGTTGTATGAAAAATATCATGCAAATACAATACCTGTAGATCTTCTTCTATTCAAGCTAACTGGCGAAACAAAGCTACCCTACAATGGGGAATGAACGGGGTAGAGGCACTTTGCGTGTCGCAGCAAGGAAACTTCTTAACCTTCAATGAGAATGGTTCCTAGCACAGACTAAACTTAACATCACAGCTAACAATACCTGCCACGCTAGACGATCTCAACCTCTCAACCACCGCTACGTTGCCACTACCATTCATTTCAGGGAGCCAAGATTGTCGCCAGTTACTCCAATAGGAAATACTAATTAGTGACAATTGTGTATAAGCGCACTTGTGACGTATAAACCTCATCCTGTTAACATTTCTGACTTTGTGCTTTTATCCGAGAACTTAATAATAAATACAAGTCCCACGCGCACATCACGAAAGTCTTATTGCCAGGGAGATCGGAGAGGACCCTATGAAGAACTATAATGTTTTAAGAACAGAAGAAAAGTAAACTCAAGTAATTACCCATGTTCTGCTAAAAGCCTTGCAGTATTTACATTTTTCACAAGGGTTCTCCCGATCTCCTCATATTCATTGCATCATCCTTGTATTGCTAAAAACACCTTTCGCGAACTACCTCTCATTTACGTTATCTCTTATAGTAGGCTTAGTCGTTTTATCTAATTGTACGTTGTGAAGTGATCATCTAATGAAAATATCCTCTTGCAGACACTCCGGTAGTTGAAAATCCCACGCACATAGGCATTATTCATACTACTTATTCTTATGCTGCAAATCAACGTCTATTGCTGTCGAGCACAATTGAGAGATATGACACGGACATGAATAACAGTGAGCGGGTGCACGATACATACAGTTCACTGACAAGTTAAGCTATTAGCACTAACCTTGGCTCTATATTGGATAGTCGAATATTTTCTGTAATGCCACTCACGTAGGACATAGAGCACATTTACATAACAACAGTCAACTACGTAATTAATTCATCGATATAAGCCTCGTTCGTAGTTGGAAATTGTCACCTTCATGCCAGCCGGCATATTATTGTGTTATCGCATCAGTCGAGAATGCAAGAAAATGTGATGCTAATGTCCATAGATGTGTTGCTTGAGCATCGCAGCGACAAAATCAACCTTACATTGGTTCTAATAAGGCACCGTGCGATAAAAGATCTACTATGAATTTACTATACGATACGAAATCCTTTGCAGCAGGAAGCAATCCGTAAAACTATGATTATGTGGTACACAAACTATAAGTACTGTGCAGGTGTTCAAAAAATACCCTGTAAAGCATGCACATACGCCCACACACACAGACGCACGCAAGCACGCACGCACACACAAACATACACAGACATGCTATTGTGCATACAATGCACTTTTGATTGAAAATATAAATTATCAAAAATACACTTTGAGCAACAGAGTATTTACAGTGAGTTGAAGCCACACATTCACATACGGGATACGTCTGTCCATTAATGACAGACTGGTAAGTGCTGGTAAGGTTATTAACTATATGCTGTCTCAGCGTTTCTATCATCTTGGAGTCACACTACCTTATCGGCCAGTTCACAGTAATTTAGATGTAGGAGCTTATTTGGCACCATAAACTCTGAAAGACCAACTGCACTAACGTACCCCCTACATGTCTGGTGACACACGAGTGATATATGTTCATGTTTTCTTTGTAAAAATTCACATTTGACAATTTAATAGGAAAAATCATGTACCCATACCTCACTCTCTATTCTGCCACTGCTATCAGAAGTGAACTATCATTTCAACTATAAATATTAATCACTTTAAAGTTTTTTGATGTTATGTGGAAATTTAAACAGGTTTAAGGATTGTTTAAATAAAAACAATTTCACGTTGCTGGCTCGCAACTTAAACGTGAATGTTTTCTAATGAAATGATTTTACATCATAGGTTACAATAGGAGTACTCTGAAACTCTTAATAAATTGAAGATTCTTCCTACATTTAACATTTACTGTCATAATTTGATAACGAATTTTGAACATTATACATACCAGCCGAAGGGCAAGACAAGATAATCGAGAGGAGGACAGCACACATTTCTACTAGGTGTCGAACTACCATCGCGAAACTTTAAAAAACGAAAACCGCAGCTTCCATAAGTATTAAATTATGAATCACTAAATAAAGGTTTCAATTTATATCAACGTCAATAAGTAAACTTTGTTCTCTGTGTGCTTGTCCTCGCCTGGAGGAGTGCGGTCAAGTGTAATTAAACTAGATCAACATAAAATGCCTGTCGAGTAAAACACGTTAAGGTTGCACACACTTACACTTTTTTCTTCTTTCAATCATTTCCTTTTCACCATCGAATTCTTTCTTGTCTCTCTCTCTCTCTCTCTCTCTCTCTCTCTAACTCACTCACTCACTCACTCACTCACTCACTCACTCACTCACTCACTCACTCACTCACTCACTCACTCACTCACTCACTCACTCACTCACTCACTATCTCACTCACTCACTCTTACTCAAGCAGGCACACGCGCACGCACGTATGCTCTTCTTTCTTTACTTTCCCAGTCCCATGCCCACAGTCACTCCGCCTATACATCCTTCCTTTGCACGTGAGAGAGCACAACAAGATATAAAGTGCACGTTTGTTTGCCTTCGTCTATAAAATGTTGGACACGACGTGCGTCAAAGTTACACATACATAGCATACTAGTGTGCAAACGAGTAAGAGATCGAATGCAGCAGGGGTCAGGTTTTAACACAGAGAAGAGGCAGCGTCACAGCTATTGACAAAGGCTCGGGTGGCAAAGGCACATTGTGTCAATCAAACAAGCAGTGACACACTTCCCAGTCAACACGTTTAAAAATATATCTTCTTACAGAGATAGGATCACATTTGTCGATGACATATCTCTACCGTCGTTAGACGTGACAATGTTCCCAACTGTTCGAAGTGGACAACATGAAAAGCTGCCAAATGGAAATCACACGCGCACGTAAGCGTGCATGCCGTGACTTAATTGAAGGCAAAGAAGTGTAAAAAGTACCAAAACACAACAAACCTGCAAGCATTACACCACTCGGCAATGCAAAATCAATGATTGGTCCTTAAGCATCATCAATTAATATCCAGCATCCTGGGACTCACACAAGTCCCAATTTTTCTCCAGCTATGAGTGAGTACAGTAACTGGCTTTGAAGCGTGCATTGCACTTGCAATCTGAATGCAATGCACTTACTTTTCTGGTAGTACCAATTCAAACCAACAGAGTTCACAACCATTGTTGATACTATCGTGAAACCCAACAGGATTACGCCGACCTAAGTGAACCTGAATCACTTACAACCTTTGGTATTCAACCACATAATACAAACCTTTGGTATATAACAGCTTATCACTCAGGTAGTACAGAGGCACAACAATACACTCGGTCGATGCACAGCCGAACACAGACAGCTTATTGAGATGTATGCCAAGACATGGAGGCACCCGAATCGGCTGTCACTCATAACACTACAGCAGGGTAAACATTATAAAAGCATCACTGCAGATGCAACTACCTACCATGTCCACGAACGCAGTCAAACATACCGGCTTGCGCCTTAACTATAAGAAATCTTCGACTCTGCCAGCAAGAGTTTCCTGTGCCTGCTAGGATCTTCCGCATGCATTGTCTGCACCCAACGAGGCGGCGTTCCTCTCTTCGATTGCGACCAGCGCCACCTGTGACCATGTCCTCACACCGAGGTCACTTCTCTCCTGTATACCCTGCTAGTAGGCTCAGAGCGTGGCAGTCCCGTGCAATCCACGTGTCCACATGTCATGGTCTCGTGGCAAGGTGTCATCTGCGTACGATGTGCAGCTAGGTTGCAATCCATCGTGACTGCCCTGCATTGCTAACCACACGCTGTGCCAGTCCATGGCATCCATCTTCTACTGCCAACCACACGCTGTGCCAGTCCATGGCATCCATCTTCTACTGCCAACCACACGCTGTGCCAGTCCATCCTGACCGTCCTGCTCACCACATGCTGTGAGCGGTCGCTGTTCGGAGGCCATTGGCCGTGTGCAGTATGGCCGGGGTGGTCAGCGATGCACTGCTGGACACAATGGACGACGGTCTGCCATCGCCGACGACGGGCGACAGCGGCTGCTTCCTCTTGCTGCTCATCTCTGCGGAGTAACGACAAGAGAACGGCTTTTAACACTAAGCTCTCTTGTGGCAATCAAGTAGATTTTCCCCCGAAGATGTGACGGTCACATTTCATGGCCCTGCACATGAGAGGTTCAGAAACTTGTTTTTTTTATGTACCTTGTTTAATATAGTTTTCCTTTTTGTTATTTCTTGTTCGGTGAAGCTTCTCGAAAGAGTTTTCCATTTAACAGACGAAAAAAATTCGTTCCCTAAATACTGCGTAATACCAATTATATCGTTCGTCAAATTAATCAAGCTTATGTTAAAAAAGATCTAGCAAAAATGTCTGCCACCATATGGCTTACCAGCATCGACCTGGCATTAAGCAAAGCAAAGCATATCCATAAGCCTTACGTCACAATGGCCTTCCTCGTTCATCGAAAGAGTTATACAGTGGATAAACCTCAGGAACGTATCTTGTCCATCAAAAAATGAGGTCAGATTGTCCATCAAATGAGGGCAGATACTAACGAGTTTGGAGTTACGAGATGCGGCCGCGCTACCGTGTAAGCTGCACTCACCGGAGATGGCCAGCAGCATCTTCCGCCGTGCGCCGAACGTCGTGATGCCGAGCTCCTTGAGATCCTGATCAGTCAAGGTCACGAACGTAGTCAAATCGATCTGTAGCAACGCGTCAACGCTTACCGTCAATTCACAGTCAAGAAAACTACGGCCATAATACAATATATAATTGAGAGAGATAACCGTGCCTGCTGTCGGGTACTGTTTCCCGTGTGCGTTTAGCTAACCCTAGTTTGTGAGTAGTATTATTCTTAAAACCGTTTGTCGCAACGCTGTTTGGATAGAGCTACCCATCAATCATGGATCTGTATGTTAAATCATAGCACTCAAATAACACAAATATGGCTACGATTTCAAATCGGTAAAGCCATATATGAGCATTTAGAATGTTATTAAATTTAGACTGGCTATGGGTCTGGATTATTTCGTGCCATTGTATGTATGTTACTCTGTGTGGCATATTATTTTTTTTGGTTTTCTATAAGTTAGACATAAGGTTACAGTCAAGGCTAGTCTTAGGATTAGGGTTAGTGTTATGGTTAGGGTTATATCATTAACGATATCTGTTGAGATATAAGTGTGTAAGAGGTCGCAAAATTATGGACTCATAGTCACACTCTATTAAATCTAATTACTTAAAGCCCAATATGTGCTGAGTGACACAGTGTAGGTTGCAACCAATAAAATTTGCAGAGAACTTAGAGATACTTGATTGACACTACATTTTCACTCTAATCAATGTAACACAAGATAGCAACATGGCATACCTCTTGTTGTTGAAACAAGTCCGAGTATTTTCCTAAACCGAGTTTAGTAAGTAATGATGGCAGGTCAGCTTTGGTATTCATGTTCTCGATTGACCATACACCAGCCTTGGGCAGTGTCACACTATCAATGTAGTTACTGCTACTCAAGCTGAACTCATCTGCAAGATATGACGTTTTTGGTTCATTGTAGAATTGCCATTTCCCAATGGAAAAATGGAAAATAGGAAATATATTAGGAAGAGTGCCGGCTTTATTGTATCATATAAAATTACCAGGCACGTGAAATAGCTAAGTACATATCTACTCCATATTTAAAGATGCAGATGGAAGACGTACAGTTACGCCTTCGCAGGCGAGATGGACACGCTGGAAATTCGCCGGGTGCAGCCGAAATTCCCATTTGTTGCTGCTGGTTACCACTGCCGATGCTGGTCTCTTGATTCCATGGATCTTTCTCCTTTTCTGTCTCACTAGTCCCATTCTACAAAAGATCGAAAAATGTTGTCACATCAGGTGTAATTAAAATAAAAACGATATCATATTTCTCTTACAATGACATCTATTTGAAATTAAACATTTTGTTTGTCAAGCTGTACTGTTCAACACTTAAACGTGACACCAGAGGGCAGCAGGTGACATTTTCCTAGGTAAATCCTGAAAAATCTTCCCACAGCATTTTTGGCATTTTCCATTCATAAAAGCAATTACAAGACGAAAGTATGCATACCTCGTACGTCGTCTCCATGCTGGGTCCATTGTAGCGCGCCTTGACACCTAGTCTCTCGCGGATGACTGCGTCTGGCATGGACTTGGAGAAACCGAGACCAGACCACGTGTCTGTGGGTGTCCTCGACTCAGATCCCACCGGCTTCTTCTGCATCGCTGAGGACACACGCAAGACGACAACATAACGACAACAGCAAGAAGAAGCAGGTACAGTAAGAACAATGGTGAGACAAGCGGGAAGGATGATGCTATGAAGAAAAAGCATGGTCATGGTTAAGAACTACGTCTACAAGCAATGGAGCAGAATGTCTATGGATGGACTTGATCGGAATAATTTGTCAATCATTATATTTCTAAATCTTTACACCAGTGTAAAAGCATAAATAAAATTTTTTATTTTAAAAGCATAAAAGAAACCTTTTACCTTTGGTTGCCATTAACTTTTTGTGTTCATAGTCGAACGGCAAAGTGGACGGATCATCGGTGCAGTCATGTTCACCCTGGTTGTTGGCTACCCCAGATGTGTCACAGGGATGTGGGCTGTAGAAACAACACGAGAAAACTTGGGATCCTCTGTGCACCTAAATTGCTCAGATAACAGTAGACGGATTCTCTGCAAGTAGCACTTTACATCTAAGAACTGCTGCCACCATAAGCATGCCTGGTGTTCTGCATCTGCAAGTTATGCTACTCACACTTACTGAAAAGTGTTTTTTGAACAATTACGTTCAGACACCAGGGTATAATACCTTGAGTTCCTAGATAAAACGAGCTCAAGCAGGTATATTTACACGCACACACAGATGCCCACACACTTGCACGCGCACGTGCAGTGACACACGCACGCACGCACGCACGCACGCACGCACGCACGCACGCACGCACGCACGCACGCACGCCTGCACGCACGCACGCACGCACGCACGCACGCACGCACGCACGCACGCACGCCTGCACGCACGCACGCACGCACGCACACCCCCACACACACGTGATATGACACATGTGCATATGACTAGAGATGCTAAAAGGCTTACTGGAATGATCTGTTCCTGAGAGCATACTCCAGCCTGGCATGGTGGGCTGCAGTATCCAGCAACACTGATGCTTGTGACGTTGCTGTGCCATTAAGGACACTACTGCTAGGCATCGGATCTGCGGGCGACAACTTCCTGGGTAGAACCATGTCAACAAGCCCCAGTGACTTGTCCCGGTTCGTGTTGGTATTTCCAGCTAAACAGTAAAAAACACATTCAGAATCTTGTCCCCAACCAAAACATCCTATCACCACCACCATTACCTCACCTCTATTCAGAGTACCCTTATCACCTATCAAAACCCTAGTTATATATCTAATCCCCAAGCACCATGTTTTATTTCCAATCATAACATCTCACTTCACACTCCAAACCACAAAATTAAAATAATTAGAATATAAATGTAAATACATTATTTTATGTTCAAAGTTTCCTGTGAATGTGAAATTTTACGTGAAGGTTAACTGATTTTCGACCCTCATAAAAAGTTCAATAAAAAGCACTGGTCATGTTATTGTGCTGATGCTCTTACATTATGCATTCTTTAATTGTATCACTACTACACAAAACATTCGTAAACATGGATTTGTTGCGGTCATGTAGCTCAGGGCTCACCATATGAATTCTCAGGGCTGATCTTGGCCATACGATCTACAGGGCTCTCGCAGGGGCTGATGCTGCCGCTGCCGCCGCTTCCGTTCTTATCAATGAGCCTCAGCTGATTGTACGGATTCACCAACATCAGAGCGGCCGGATACGCTAGACACACAAAACAAGACTCTCAGTCTCACTCTGCACCGATTTGTTCACATGTTCTGCTTTTTGTGCCACAGTGATGCCTAAAGCAGCAGCGAAACTTTAACGCAATCATAAAGGTCAAGGGACCCTGGAGCTCCCATCACACAGGGCAATACGAGTTACTCTTGCAAAGCTGTGATACGACACACGACAACGTTGTGGGGAAGGTAATGTAATTGGGAGCAACATGAATTCGACAGCAGTATCACATGGTTACCTCATAGATGGATAACGCAGTGGGCAGTACTCAACTCCACTCACAACTAAACTGCATTACAGACATATTTCTTCTTCGTGTACTTCATGTTATTGGGCAGGGTCCTATCTTATCTGGGACGTACGTCACACATAAAGCTAACATTGGTCAATGTCAGGGTGCTTTATATACACGTTGGTTCATTTACTTAGTTATTATTGTAAAATAGTATTCACCAACCAACTTTGCATTATGGTAGAAGAGCATTTCATCTTCCATTCACTTCTCTGTAGCATATGTCCTGACTTACCATGGTCAGTCAAGGCCGTGCTCCAGCTAAGTGGGTTAGGACTAGGTAGAGGGCTCAGGGGGCTGTGTGAGCGTGGGTATGGCGGCGAGAAGTTCAACAGATTCTGGTCTATCAAACCTGTAATGCACAGTGGAATGCCACAATGTTAATATTCTGCAACAGTACCTGCACATATAAAAGACTATAAACTTCCATCAATTAACACATAAAATCGTTGCTTCTTAAGCCTATATGATTGTGCTTACATCTCGTGAATATTAAACTATGTTCAATCTTTGTTTAAAAAAAATTACAACTCCATTTCAACATCCTTCTCGTCACTACAATTCTAATAGCAATAAAACATATGAGACTCGTATAAAATCATCGAAAACCTTGAAGTGGGGTAAGGCTGCCATGCTTCTAGTAACGTGCATATAAAGTAATAATTCTTCCTATAAAGCCCCAAAGTGTGCTGCTGAAACCTGGACCTGATCGCCGTACAACACCTAATATTCAGATAACATCTCACTGAAATCAGTAAGGTAAACTAGATACATGCTAATGAAGCTTGTAATATTGTGAATTAATGTCAGTATAGCACACACAGCAAAAGTCTAGTTAAAAATGACACATTATCAACACAATGAATGGATGGCGGCCAGAGAGATAGCGAGATGACAATCGAATACTTATGGTGTGACAGTTGTAGTGGTAGGGAGATGACACTGCAATATTCACAGTGTGACAGTCTTAGTGGTAGGGTAATGACAATGACTGAGGTACTCACACTCACAGTGTGTTGTAGCCGCAGTGGTAGGACAATGACAATGACTGAGGTACTCACAGTGTGTTGTAGCCGCAGTGGTAGGACAATGACAATGACTGAGGTACTCACAGTGTGTTGTAGGCCGCAGGGCGGTTAGCGCGCCAATGACAGATGGACGTGAGCGTACAACAACACTCACAGCGTGTCTGTACTCGTCGGCGAGTGGTATGAGCAATGACAATGACTTCAAGGTACATGCACGCAGCGTGGTTGTAGTCCGGGCAGCGTACGGTCACAATGACAATGACTGAGGGTACTGCTCCACAACTACACATAGCGATGTTTGTAGCGCGCAAGCGAGGGGCAACAATGCACTAATTCGAACTGAGGACTCACAGTGCGTGTGTAGTCGGCAGGTGGTAGGCAAGTGACAAATGCACGTGAGGTACCTCAAGCATGCGTAGTACATTGGTAGAACAAGTGACCAATGAGACTGTGAAGTACTCGACAGCGGTGTTCTGTAATCGCAGTGGTAGGAGCAGAGACTTAATGACAATGAACTGGGAAGGTACTCAACGAGTGTGTGTGTACGCACGCAGTGCGTAGGCAACTGACAAATGACTGCGAGGTACTCACGGAGCGTGTTGTGATCGCAGTTGGTAGAACAAGATGACAAGTGATCTGAGGTATGCTCACGAGTCGTGCGTTGTAGTCCCGCAGTGGTAATGGACAGATGACAATCGACTGAGGTACTCAACCAGCGGTGTTGTAATCGCAGTGGTAGGGACACGATGAGAAAATTGACGAATGACTGAGGACTCACCAGCGTGTTGGTAGGCCCGCATGGACGGTAGGCAAGCAATCGGACCTTAATGAAGCCAAGTGACTGGGCGGTATTCACTAGCGTGTTGTAAGTCGGCGACATGTAGGGAATGACAGTGCAATATGAACGACGTACTGCACAGGTGTGTATCACAGTGGTAGGGCAAATGACATGACTCGAGGGTACGTTCACTAGCGTGTTGTCAATCGCGAGTTGGTAGGACAGATAAATGACAATTGACTGAGGTATCTCACCAGCGTTTGCTAGTCGCCAGTGGTAGAGACAATGGACAATGACTGACGGTACTCACAAGCGTGTTGTAGACGGCAGTGTAGGACGAATTGACAATGAACAAATGAGCTGAGGTACTCCACAGTTGTGTTGTAGCTGCAGTCCGTAGGCAATGACAATGACGTGAGGTACTGCACACGTGTGTTGTAGCCGGCAGTGGTAGATAAATGCACAATGACTTTGAGGTACTCACAGTGTGCTGGTAGTCGCAGTGGTAGACAATGACAATGCACTGAGGTGCTCGATCAGTCGTGTAGTAGCCTGCCAGTGTAGAAAATAAATGATCAATGTACGAGGTACTCACAGCGTGTTGTAGTGCAGCAGTGAGTAGGGACAGAAGGACAATGACTGAGGTTACTCACCAGTGTGCTGGTAGGTCCGCAGTGTCGACAATGACAATGGACAATGGACTGAGGTACCCATGGTGTTGTAACGCGCAGCGGTAGGCCACAATGACAATGACGTGAGGTACTCACAGTGTCCGTAAGTCCGCAGTGGTAGGAGGCAATCGACAAAGACTGAGGTACTCACAGTGTGCTGTTAGTTCGCCATGGTAGGGCAATGACAAGCACTGACGGTACCACAGCGTGTTGTAAAGCCGTCAGTGTAGGAACAAGAACGAATAAGCTGAGGTACTACACCGTCTGGTCGCCTGTAGCTCGGCAGTGGTAGGGGCAAATGACAAGGACTGATGGAGTAAGCTATCGACAGTGTGCTGTAGTCCCGCTAATGGTGGTAGGGCAATCAAATGAACTGTAGGTGCGTCACGAGGGTTGGTACCGCAGTGGTAGGGTACAATGGACAATCAGACGCTGAGGTACTCACATGTGCTTAGTCGACCACGTGGTAGGACAATGACAACATGGAACGAGTACTCACAGGCGTGGTTGTAGTTCGGCAGTGGGTAGGACAATGACAATGACGAGGTACTCACAGCTGGGTTGGTAGTTACGCAGTGGTAGGACAAATGAACCATCAGCTGCAAGGACTCAGTACCCAGGACAATGACTGGGAGGTACTAACCACAGCGTGTTGTAGTGCGCAGCTGTGAACAATGAGCAATGACTGAGGTACTCAAGTCGTGCTGTAGTCGCAGTGGTAGGAGACATATGCACAATCGATGTACTGAGGTCACTCACGAGTGGTTGTGTGTAGGTCCGGCAAGCGGGTAGGCCGCAGATGAACAAGACGTGCAGGTACTCACAAGCGTGTTTGTAGCCGCAGTGTAAGGTACAATGACAATGAGTGAGGTATGTCAGTACAGTATGTGTTTGTAGTCGCCAGAGGGCGGTAGGTGCAATACAATGACTGAAGATCACTCCACAGTTGTGAATCGCAGTGGTAGCGGGCTAAATGACAGATGACTGAGGTACTCACAGTGTGTTTTGTAAGTCGGCAGTCGGAGGACATACAGAGAAATGGACTCGATCGTACTCAACCACAGCGTGTTGTAGTCTGTCGAGTGATGAGGATCAATGACAATGCGACAATGACTCTGAGGGTGACTCAGCACATGTGCGTGTTGTAGTCCGCTGAGATACAAGAAGTTGTTGTCTGTTAGTGTGCAAGCTGACCGGAATCGGTGGCGACGACGACTGGGGGATATCACACTCAGCTTCCGCGATAAGCTGGCAGCGAGCTTCATAGACATGGGCGGAATTCTTTTCTGCACCTTTGATTATCACAGACTGAAACGGCAAGAGTTAAAGAACTGATCGCAAAAGTCAAAATCCAAGAAAAAAATTATAACTGCATATTTACCTCCGCCCAACGGAGTTGGAGGAGGTTATGTGATCGCACTTGTGTGTTAGTGTGTTCGCGCGATCGATATTAGCGTTTCAGCCAGCCAGCGCAGCGAGCCAGCGAGCGTGTACATGTGAGCGAGCAGCAGCAACGAGCGGCTGCTACGAGCGAGCGAGCAGCAAGCCAGCAACCCAGCGTCTACATGTCAGTACGCTGGCGTATATCGTGGGTTATTCGTGTGTTCGTCAGTCGTATGGCGTATGGCGTATGTCGCTGGCGGAGGTATGCACTCTCCGTGAGTGCACTCTGTCTAGTCTCAACTGTGTACAAGATACAGTGTAAGAGCCTGGTGTAAGATCAAGTATGTAGGATAAAATATCTCAACACGTCATGCTACTCCAGCTCAACCAATCAAAATGTGCTGTTTCAGAGAAAATGTGAGTTTTCAATAGGAACGTAACAACCAATCAGATACCTACCTCGCTGACAACACTCCGTGACAAACATCTCTCCATTATTCTATGATGCGAGACCTATGTCCATAGTTTAATGTAATTTACATTACGAAAGTTAAAACGTGGGAACCTTCTGCCTTCCTATTAATAGACCCTCATATTCCTGCTGTCCTTTTGCCTCCTCAGTAGTAGAATCATGTACTTCCCTTCTCACTCTCTGTCTCTATCTCTGCCCCCCCCTCTCTCTCTCTCTATCTCTGCTCTCCTCCTTCACTCACCTTGCTTGAGGTTTTGGGCTTTGGTTTTACGGAGATAAACACATCTAGCTTCTCCATGAGCCGCGCGAGCCAGGTCGGATCGATGTCTCTCTCATGTTTCATGTCAAGCATGAGCACGAGTGGCAGGTAGCGCTGCAAGAACAGCACAGAGAGGTCATACGCACGCCCCGCTCGCTCAGATCGCGCGTCAGATAACATAATAGTATCTATCGTGCCCATTTACACGGTCAACAGTTATCTGGATAACAGAGAAAATTCGTACCCACTAATGTGCTTCAAATATTTTTCTCCATAATATCCTGCCCCGTTTACGTGCCAAATGCTGTTAGGGTGACAGCATTATATTTTTTACACAGTTAACAGTAATGAAGGTTACAGTGTAATATCTATCATACATGGTTGCTATCAACCAAATGTTATCAGGATAACAGTGAAATATCTACGGCATGTCGCGTAATACATGCGCAGGTTGACACTTAGATCAAACAATCAAATTCTAAACAACTGCCACTGCAGCAAACACTATGTATGAATGAACTTACGAGTCGACGATAGTTTTATCATTATAACCCAATGTGAAAAAATAAACTCATTTCAGCTCTACAGTCTGTGTTAACATAATGTGGGTGCCGATTAATTCCCCACACATCGGCTACACTGCGTAATTGTTAGACTTACGTTTAAGGTTTGACTTATGGTTAGGAAAGGCGGTTTGATGGGTTTTAATCTCGCGTACATGCAGCACCATTACTCTATGTAGAGAGTACGATAAAACATTACTTAACATTTAACATTTAACATAACTATAACATTAGGGGTTAATGATTAAAAAAATTGTCATTTGTCATTATTAACTCCTGATAACATGCAACATATATAACATATATTGCAGTAGCTCCACAACGAGATGCGGCAGAGTTCGGGGCGATGAGACTATCGCACTCACGATTATCATCTCCCTGGCGACGCAGACGCTCTCGATGTTACCCGTGATGAAGACCGTGCTCTTGCGCTGCTGCGTCATGTTGCTCGGGTCGGGGAAGTGGATGCTGGCGCCCGTCTGCTGCATGATCTGCTTGATGTTGATTCCGCCGCGACCGATCACGAACAGGTGATGCTGCGGTGAGATCTCGAGCTGCACGTTCACCGGGACCGTCGGCTAAACCACGCAGAGATGACGCAAAATAGCTGGAGTTTCTTACATACAGTCAGGTGTATATGCTACATATTATATGCATTATATACCCACATTACGCCAGTATATGTGGGAAAAGCGGGAAGTGTCTACTATGTACGGGTGTACGAGACATAGCGGTAGAATCAAAACTGTGTTAGCGGTGAGCTCTGTACAACTCAGTGTTTCAATAAAAGTATTGCATCTGTGCTTCAGCTGGGCTCACATGAGCCGAAAAGCACATTGCAGTAATAACAATGAACATTGAACAAGAGCCGCAGAGCATCTGGGCTCATCTGGGGTCTGTTGCTACGGTTATAAACATAACATTTAAGTCATGCGTAGTGACACCTTTGTTAGGCGCAGATATGCAGATACGCAGTTGCGTCCACATCATTTCAGCAACCTTCTGCATTCTGCATACCTCCCAAGTCCCATTGGTTAATACAAATCGCATGCCTGAAACTCCTGTTTTATGATGCATTGTGACCCTAACCCTAACCCTATTAAAAAAAAATTGATTGTTGTAAAAATTATTTGTTGTTATTAAATTGTTGTAAATAAATCATGTAAATATTTGCGTTAATTAAAAAAAAACAGGTAAATAATAAAATAAAAGTATTGCATCTGTGCTTCAGCTGGGCTCACATGAGCAGGAAAGCACATTGCAGTAATAACAATGAACATTGAACAAGAGCCGCAGAGCGTCTGGGCTCATCTGAGGTCTGTTGCTACGGTTATAAACGTAACATTTAAGTCGTGCGTAGTGACACCTTTGTTAGGCGCAGATATGCAGATACGCAGTTGCGTCCACATCATTTCAGCAACCTTCTGCATTCTGCATACCTCCCAAATCCCATTGGTTGATACAAATCGCATGCCTGAAACGCCTGTTCTATGATGCATTGTGACCCTAACCCTAACCCTATTTTTTTTTTAAATTGATTGTTGTAAAAATTATTTGTTGTTATTAAATTGTTGTAAATAAATCATGTAAATATTTGCGTTAATTAAAAAAAAACAGGTAAATAATAAAAAATCTGATGGGATTCGATCCAACGACCTTTGAGCCGGGGCTGCCTGTGCTGTAGGCGTTCGGCTACCCAGGCTTATTGGCTTTCTAGATTATGGATGTGCCATGAATATGAGAACACTGTGACATCATTGAGGCAGTTCAGTAATCCATGTTTAACCCTTCTCTTGAGGGTCAGAAGGTTATCAGACACTTACTCTTCGCACGGCAGTGGAAAGCACATTTCATGCTCCTCAATAAAGTGATAAAAATGGTAGGTCAGCCAAAAAGTTTTTCACTGTGTCCGTTAGACCATGTCCTCAGAAAATGTCTGATGTCTGACCTTTCCCCCACTGCCCTTTGACCTGTGACCTCCAATTTCACACTGGTGATGGGTTTCCTGCCCATCACACTATACACCGAATATTAAGAGCATAGGCCGAGCCGTTAAGATTTGTGCCGCAATTCCGTATTACCTCCTATACCTTAAGTTAAGGAAGAAATATTTCCCCTCCGTTTACACATCTTGACCTTTGACCTTTGATCCCCAAAATTGTCATCCTGAGTCCTTTTCACGATCCCCCCCCCCCTCGACGTCCCGAATATCATGACCGTACGCCGAGCGGTTAAGATTTGTGCCCAACTGTTGACGGACGCACGGACGGACAGACGCACGGACGCACGGACGATCATGCGATTCTACAAGCTGCATCTGACTACGTCAAGATGAGCTAAAAATCAAGCCGAAAAGTAATCCTTACATGATTTAATGGCCAGTTAAAAAAAATTTACACTAGGTGGCAGCAGGGAAACGAACAACGATGCTTGTTGTTTTTGCTGCAGCAGCAATAATTCATGTAAGATTCATCTTTGCGCGTGTACTTACGCCATTCCTGCCCGTGAGATGTTCTAGCAGCGCTGCTGTACCATCCTTCACATTCTGTGAATTGTTGACTGAACCGCGCACCATGACTAGCGTCGTGTACACCCCAACTCGAGGCTTGAAAGAAACCTGAAGCACACCAACCACCAACACAACAATTAACGACAAAAAAGATGCAAGGGTTAGTGGATGAGCAGTGGTCAAACGGTTTGCACTTGATGGGTTAAGTACCCAAGTACGTTGCATAACCTAATGGGTAGAATATTTGAAGATGCCCCAATCGACTGTGACTGTGGGGAGTACCAGACTATGAACATCTCCTGGAATTACCAGAGCCCCGTAGACCTGGGGACATTGAGGCTTTCAACCAACGTGCCAGGTCCTGTGTGTTGCAGTGGCTAGGATGAGTGTAGCGTAGTGACCCGAGAAGAAGAAGGAGAACGGGTAGAACTTTGGGCTAAAGGGCCAGGTTACGTCCCACCTCGGTCACTGCAGTGCTGTTGTGACCTTCACCAGGGTACTTTATCCCCCCCCCCCCGATTTGTTTCAGTCGCCTCCTAATATATGGGTTTATATTGCCAGTGTAAGACTAACAAAGTCACCCACTTAAGAGTAGTAGTGGTTAGTAGTGGCTGCAATTGAATGGCAAAAAATTATATAAAGAAATTTTTGAAGCTACTATTTCTAGAGTCGGTCGATTTCATGACAGTCATATATAATCATTAAATGAAATTCCTCGATAATGTCCCAGAAACATTACTAACGCCTATGTACAAAAAAACATGTGAATCGATCTATTAAATACATGCTGTCTGTAACCATGAACATCCACTAGGGCTACATCCCACAGTAACACTTTTCTTTCACGTAATAGCTGTTGCTTCCTAGAATATCTGTAATTTACTTCAGCATATTGGTTGCTTTAAAGATGTGCTTCTATATTTTGACTTTTGAACGCATGCCAGAATGAATCTCTTTTTAAATTTAATCTCGGTACGCAATCTTTACTCATTTTTTATTATGTATGCGAATTGGATGCAGCAAAAACGCGGGTAGAGCGCAGATGCAGAAAGTGCTGTGCTGACTGTCTAATGCATAAAAAGAGCCGACTTTTTCTGCCGGCTGCTGAGGGGTTCGTAGGGACAAGAATGCAGGAGAGGGGGGGAGAAAGACTTGATGAGACATCATAGGCTGCCTGTAATTACAAATGATATGTACATCGGCAGCTGCCGGCTGCCGGCTCCATCTAGCTGCTCCTTCCCCATCCACGCGCTTATCCCACCCACACACAGCGTCCCCATCGTGGCCTATTATAGCTCACTTCATCCTTAGGCTTACGCACTCGCCGAAAGGTGCACTCATCATTAACATCTGATGTTTACACGGATAAATAATACACACGGAGAACATTTCTGGTCGGGAGAGGAAAAACGTATTATGAAGATCTAGTGCAGGTGTAGTAGCTACTTTGGTACTACTTTAGTACTACTTTAGTACTAATTTGGTACTACTTTAGTACTACTTTGGTACTACTTTGGTACTACTTTGGTACTACTTTAGTACTACTTTGGTACTACTTTGGTACTACTTTAGTACTACTTTGGTACTACTTTAGTACTACTTTGGTACTACTTTAGTACTACTTTGGTACTACTTTAGTACTACTTTGGTACTACTTTGGTACTACTTTAGTACTACTTTGGTACTACTTTAGTACTACTTTGTATACTCTGTGCGAGCATATCCTATCTGCTTCATTTGAATGTACCTACATTCTTTAGCAGGAATACACATGGGTGAATGATTCTACATCACTGCTGTTAGTGAGCGTGACTTTGGGGAACTACTCTCCAACAACAGCAACAGCAACGACAACGACGACGACGACGACAGCAACAACAACAACAACAACAACAACAACAACAACAACAACAACAACAACAACAACAGCAGTAACAAATCGTCATTAGTTATTCACCAAGCAGGGAGTCTACATTTTTTGCCCATCGACTGCTATGGTTGTCTTAGCAATAACACTGCAAAACAGACGAAGTATTGGTCATGAACTAACGCAGATTTAGCTAGATAAGATTTTGGTGGGCACAACAAACAGTTATTCTGTTTAGCACACCGAGACGCGAACCTCACCATTACCGAAAGACATGTTTATAGTTATAGTTACTTGCATATCAACTCAAGAAAAATTGTCTATATATAATCTTCGACAAACGGTCAAAGTGAAAGATTGATTAAGCAGGCACAGACACTGCCGTGGTGGTGGTTCAATGCTGTGTACTGCTACTTAGCAAGCGTAGCCAAACGCACAGCAAAACGCACAGCCAAAGAGCCAACACCATTCTCCGTAAAACGGACCGCTAAATTAGCAAAGAAATGTGCCTTATCTGCACCCACGTGCCAATAATGATGGGTCACGTGTCGTCGGCACGCGTTCCATTATAACACCCACATAATAACGTGCTCACCTGAGCAGCGTAGCTATGGCAGTGGGTCGTGAGAAAGAACGAAACTAAACGAACTAAGAAAGAAACGCAATTGCAGGAACTTGCAACTGAATTTTTCGTTGCTAGATATGGGTTCCCTTCATTGTCCAGGCACGTCGTCAGTATTATTGCATCAACATCTGCTGTCGACCCTTCTACTCACAACATGCAGCATGCTCGTCCTACTCACGTGTTAATATATGATGGGCTTCGATCAACACATCTGCACGAGTTAGCATTTTACAACTACGCACGCGTTTCCCAGAATCACTTCCACGGATTAGGAGTTTGTTTTCCACAGCTGCTGCGACTGTTACCATGGCATTCGTCAACAATTCCCTTTGCATGTTCAAAATGCCGTTAATTAAACTGTTGTTAAATTTTTCCACATCTTCAGAGAACCGATCTGCCCACCAACGATAGAATTTATAGGGAGTGTGAATGACCTCCAAAATATATTTAGTGGACACAGGGGCGGATCCAGAGAGTTTGGGTGACCAGTTTCCATAGTTCTAGTCACAGCTAGGGGGGTCCGGGGGTTTAAAAAAAATTAGGCTATATTTGGTGCACTCTGGTGAATTTTGAGGGTCAATTCTGAAGATACCCAGACTGTGACCAGTTTCTGGAAACCGGTGCAAACCGGCCTAAATCCGCGCCTGGGACAAACTCTGTCCTGACAGGTGTAGAGGGCACCAATGGTGAGATCCCCAGTAAAGTGTGCTGTAAGGGTAATATTACAGAAAGCTATATAGAAAACTGATATTTGCATAATATATAGTGACAATTGCAGTGCCGGTAATATTACAAGCAAATGTAGAAGAGTGGCATTCACGTATATAGTAATGATTTTTAACGTGTAATGGGTGTTTAATGAACATAAAAAGGCAACATTCTCATTGTAATTTACACGTTTTCCACACGACGCGTGTATCATTATGACAAACTGTGTGGGAAGGTGACAGATCATGGATTATAAGGGGTCACAGATTATATAGAAACTATAAGATTACCTATACGATTTCCTATAGGATATCTAATAGAATCCTATAGATTACTATAGACCGTCTTATAGGTAAACCTATAGGTAACCTATAGATTATTTTTGTAAGGGAAGGGTTGATACACTTGCAAACAGGCGTGTTACCTGTATGTCATAGGTTTGCTGGATGTGCCGTACGGTGGGAGATGAAGGGTCCAGTGCAGGCTGTAGTACCCCTGTAACTGGCAGCTCAAATATGAACACCAGTGGAAGCAATTGCTGCAAAAAAAGCAATTAGTTGCCATGACGACGAGACTCAACATCGAATCCCTGACAGCTCGGTTTAATTAAAGCATTAAATATGAAGTATTATAAGTCTTTTTTTAATCCCTATGAGCATGTCACTTTAATTTAATAGCTAAAAATGTATTTGCACATAATGCGAGGACATGGCATAGCAAGTCCCTGGAAACTTTTTCCACATATCATCTGCTACCAATCAGAACTATAATTATGATCTGGCACGGGCATCCCAACTTAATTTGTTTACATTTCAATGTTGCATAGGAATTCACTGCGAAGATGCCTAGCTTCACCAGTGTATGCAATGCTATGTTTCACCATAGAATGAATGCCTCAGGATAAATCACATGACAAAAGCTAACGCAACACATGCGTTTAGTAGTGTGACACCGAAATCTAGCCAGTACGTACTGCCAGCCAGCGTACCATCATTAGCACGGGTACATAATTGGAATTTCTTCTACTCTACTCCTGATCGTAACCCATCTATCACAGAAACTAATACACAAGCAATAAATGTTGGCATACGAACAACACTGACGAACAACTAATTTGATCGCTTACCCGGATCTGGGCTCTTGCACTTTCCACACCTTCAGCCTGTCCGGCAATAGACACCTGCATCACAAGACAGAACCAACGTCAGACATGTACTGTACAATCGGGCAACATGTTGATAAAATAGTCATAAACATTTAACACGAGCCCACTTTTAACGCAGCAGGGAGCACGCACGCACATGCTCCACACCGCATCCATATCTCACGTATAACTACGGGAATTCGAAACAGGATATCGAACATTTAACGTTGAAGCGTTAGTAACAACAATTACGAGCAACAAATTGGAATCTTCGCGTACAACATGCGTGCCGACATTTATCGACAACATATTTATAAATTGAATTTTAAAACAGTAATTGAATTTTGAACTGAAATGTTCAAATCTAACTAAAAAAATTCTAGAGATGTAACTAGTACTGCAATTTACGATTACTGCATTTACCATGTTTCACCACACACTTACACAGATCTAATATAATTCAGCAACATATTCACAATGAATACTTTTCAGAAACTGCAACACGGCTAAGCAAACTCACAGATGTCCTTGGAACTCAACACAAAGGTGAGGAATATTTCGAGCACCTGTGTAATTAAGTGCACCTAATCATTCAGATAATCCCTTGAGATAATATTGGCCCACTATACACTGGCTAGACAACATTACGACTAGCACAGCACATCATTATAATATGCACATCATATTATATGCACATCAAATATGCAGGCGGTTAACTAGCCTATGCCAGACTGTCAGCACACGCGCCAGTCAAGCAACTCGGGAGCACGAGAACACGCCTCCTCGGAGTTGCGTTACACGTGGCTATTAAGACTGACAAAAAATAGCGTCGAATTATTTACAGGATAACTTCAACAATGCGTGCTTGGTGGCATGCCACCTCGCAGGGAGACGCTTGTCGGCCGCCAACTGTCGGCATCGACGATTGATTGCGGCCCGTCTCTCGCACCTGCCCGGCCCGCGCATCCGCCGGGCAAGCCGATTACGTGCGTTTACCTGAGACTCAATTAATTCGGGGTTCCTTTGGCTGCCTGAGGCGTAGTTTCTTTAGCAGGCAGAAAATTAGAGACGAACCAGGCGAGAGTGAGAGCGTGTGTCTATGGGCGAGCGAGTGCGCGCGCGCGTGTGTGTGTGTATGTGTGTGTGTGAGAGAGAGAGAGTCAATAAAATTAAAGCAATCTGTTGAGTATATGTCTGCGGGCAAAACACCTGCATGCTGACATCATAAACAACGAAAAGTTGAACATGCAAGAACAGCAGGTTATATAGAATCATCATTCATACACATCACACAAACGCGCAGGCCCGTACGTATGTACGCACGCGCGGGCACCGATACTATCATGGTTAATTTGCATGGTAATCGGTTTCTGGGAACACCTAAAAAAACAACTATCGCTGGTGCAAAGGAAGACTCTGTCTGAATTAGTCCTTGCTCGTCATTTCATCCATTGCTATAAATAAAAGCTAGACACGGAAGCAGTGATTTGATAACTGGGTGATTCTGAGATTAGGGGGCAAATGGCTGTCCTAACCACCCTTGGTCAGAATTCTTCACTGACTTGCCATGTTTTGAAACAATTTTATTGTTTGATGAACGTCTTGGATCATGGTAAAAAATTAGCACTAAAATGGATTTCCTATACATGAGATTTCTTAAAAAAAAATTAAGTTCAATGTTCAGATGGTCTCGGAATGCCCTGTCCTAACCCATGGTAGCCAATTTTCCACCAATGATTTGAAGCTGTTGTCATCATTCAGGGATGGGAAATCTAGTTTGGGTGGGGTTGCTATTGTTTCAACTGTAATTCAGCAAAGTTTCATGCGCCTGTGACCATAAGTGTAAGAGGGGTGAACCTCAGACCCATTGTCCTGAATTTTTATCAACTCCGTTACGACTGTATTGTGCTGCCATCTATTCATAGACAATGGTGTTAACCAATGACCAATCAGATCCAATCAGACCAAATCAGACAATCAGAGCAATCACACCAACCAGCATCACATTTCAAGGGGAAAATTTGCGAAAAATAAATGCGTACTTAAATGCATTCATCACCTCTGTTACGCAAATTGTATGATAAGTAACCATAGAAACCAAACATCATAAATTGAAGAAGACAGGCATACCCTTACAAAAATTTAAGCAATCCACAAGCAATCCACAAGCGATCAACGAGTGCTTCAAATAAGCACTCAATGGTGCAGAGGATCGCTTATCTGATTGCTTATTAAGCAATCAGGACCAATCATCGATTGCTTGGGACCGATCATCGATGGCATAATAAGCAATCGGGACCGATCTTCGATTGCTTATTATCGATCGCTTAATGAGCCATCGGGTACCGATCATCGATTGCTTACCCGATCAGTCCCGATTGCTTATTAAGCAATCGACGATCATTTAAGCTATCCTCTGCACCATTGAGCGCTTATTTTAAGCAATCATTGATCGCTTGATCAGTCCTAAGAGATCGACGATTGCTTATTCATCATGACGAAATCCAGGCGCTCTCAGGACCATCGCTGATCATTTAAGCAATCAATGATCGCTTAAGCAATCGCTGATTACTTGAAAATGGCTTGACTTCTCCCTAACACTAACTATAAACAGACTCGGCTTATATACGTGTATAAAAACAGATAAAACAATCTATGGTGTATAACCTTTTGCTTTCAATATTTTGCGTCTGAACTGACAATCAATCCCAAACAACTAGTGTAGGCTAGCTAATTAATTAATTAAATGGTGTATAACCTTTTGCTTTCAATATTTTGCGTCTGAACTGACAATCAATCCCAAACAACTAGTGTAGGCTAGCTAATTAATTAATTAATAATTAAATAATTAATTTATTAATTA